ACGTAGCGAACTAAGCAAAAAATTAATTTTAAAAACGTCTTAATTTGTGGATCGGCTAGATAGAACTGCGTGCTACTGTGTGGACTGTGGTATATAGCAAATTTTACAGATTCAATTATTTAATGCTTTGAACCATACAAAATATATTTTATTGGTTTGTTTTTACGCAGATCTAGGTATTTAGTATACCTAAATTGACAGAGAACGGCTGGATGTGTCAGTAGTATATTCTGCTCTGTCTGCCCCGTATGAATCACTTGTCATCAAAATAAATTGAAAAATACTTATAATTTTGTAAATGTTAAAGTGTATAAGGTAATACTTACGATTACCTAGCTTTAAAATAAAATTCAGTGTACGTTAAATTATAAGTCTCGATACCGAGAATCCCGTTATCCTATTTTTTTATTTTTAACATAAAGCTTTTTAATTCCCTTTGTAATGTTATTTTAAACTCAAAAATACAAGTTACTCTACTTTACAGGACGTGCAAATTGGGAAACTTTCAAACCCACACGCAACAATCGCAAATAAAACCAATCAAAGATTCCAAAATCAGGAACAAGTTTTTTGCAAGTAATTCGAAGAAAAGTTTTAACGTTAAGGAAGTGTGTGTCTTGTGATAGATACATATATAAAAGCAAGTAGGTACGCATAGGAGTGCACTATGTATATATATATATATCGATATTTCATAAAATATCGATACATGTACGCGATATATCGCTTCAACTCGATATTACCGAATCATATAGTATCGATATTATATATCGATAGATTTCATCCGATATATCAAATATCGGGAGAAATTAAAAGCACATTCAATTTCTTTTTTTGTAATATTGATTCATTTATTTATGGACGGCAACTTGAGTAAGAAAAAGGATTGTTAGGAGACTTGAAACGGAAAACCCCGAATTATTGAAAAACTAGCCTTCGCAATAACGGAACGCTAAGACACGAAAATGAAAACTAGTCTCCTACTCTTCGTGAAGGCAGACTACTAGTAGTAAAATTTTTATAATCTGTGACTGTAGTCGTAACTCGTAGTGTGTCTGTGCCTCGAGAGTCTCACTCGCTTCCGAAATCCCAGTTCCGACTTCCGCTTCGTTCATCGTTCTCACTTCTCAGTACAAATTACAAAATAGCCTATAAAGTATAAATAAAAGTTGTCTGTTTTGTTTAATACAGTTTACGAAATTTAAATATAGTAAGTATATTTAAATATAGTAAATTTAAATATAGTAAGTGTGTATAACGATATATAAAAACGGCTATTTTAACTCAGCACTTTTGTAAAATTTTGTTTCTGCAAGGTCTACAGAAAAAGTATTGGGATTAATAAATAAATAAAATGTCTTGTTTCTTCACTAACTGTTTTTACTCATATTAACCTGATCCCTACCTAATATTTAATATTACAGACTAGTTAAATACAAACAAATAACTTACGATATATCGAAAATATCGATATATTTATACGATATATCGCAAATTATCGATACAACAATACAATATATAATATCAAAAAAATATCGATATCTTTTTACATGAACATCCCTAGGTACGCATACTCGTAGCTCAATGGTCTTTTTTTATTCGTTTTCGGTTAATCATTTTGATTTTTTTTTTGTTCAGTGCTGTGAAAAAATATAGACTCCAAAAGCTTTTTTATAATTTGAAAAAATTTATGTAACAAAATAATCTAAGACATCATGTTTTGTTTGTTAACTACACAATATATCCTAATTCATTATATGTATACTTTTTTTTGCGTGACCTTCATATTAGAGTAATGTGACTTGTTTTGTAGCGTTATATTAACCTGTGAATATTTATAAACTCAGTTGCATTTTGGCAACCTACTGAAATTAAATGTTTTTTTTTCATTGCTCTTGAAATCTACATTACTTACCAGCTTTCGTGGTTAGTCATAGATAATTAATATATTTATTTTCTTTTTCAATGCTTTGCGGTAAAGAAATAAGTTCTATTGGAAAACAAAGAATGATTTATCTGAGAAGCTGCGGTAAAACTCAAAGGTAAATAACTGACATTATTTGTAGATCACAGAGTGTGGTGAAAAACTTTTTGAAGCTAGATGTTGAAAACTATGGCAAAATAAAACGTTCAGAACGCCCGGCGAAATTTTTTCCTAATGTTAAACTAGCAGTATTAAAAGAATTATCAAGTACTAGAGCATCATCATTGACATTAGTGCGTAGATTTAATTTAAACTGTGATGCTAGTCTTGTGAGAAAGTGGGCACAAGAGCCCAGACGCTTTAAATATCGGAAGTACTTAAGTTAATCCGTCTTATAAGCATAGCTCGTTGCAGAAAGACCGAAATTTGCAGAAAAATATATCAAAAAAGGAAAAACTTCTGGAAACACGTGATATTCTCAGATAAAAAATTTATTTGTGACGGTCCGGACGGTTTTAAATATGATTGGCATGATTTAAGGTTTGAACGTAAAATAATGTCTCGTCGAGCTTAAGGTAGGAGGTGCATCGGTCGTTCACCTTGTCGTGGTGGGGGGCTCAGTAGTGCCCAGCAATCCAACCGGGCGCGAAGCTAAGAAACGCACAGGGAGGTTGCCCACTTCGGTGGGCGGTGGGAGGTGGCCCTCTTCAAGGGGGCGGTGTACCTTGCGGGTTGCTCCTGGTACTTCTCTGATAGCAGAGTGGACCTTGGAGCAACCCCATGGTTGTGGTGGTCTGCTTTGGCAGACCTGCCGTCGGGGCGTCGTAGTTGAATGCGTAAGCGATCCTGCGACGCCCCATTAAGACGGGGGAAGGTTTTGTTGGGTTTTAGTGGGTAGTACTGGCTGTATTACGCCGGTGAGTCCCACACGTCGTGCGTAAATGCATTTCCCAACGTTAAAAAAAAAAAAAAAAGGAGGTGCATCGGTAATGGTCAGGGGTGGTATCATTGGTAATTTAAAGCATTCATTATGTTGACTGAACACAAAGATATAATTTTTCAACAGAACAACGATCCAATACACGTTGCTTCAACTACAAAAAAGTGGTTTCAGGACTTCGATATACCACTATTCGACTGGCCAACATGCAGTTCCGTTTAAATCCGCGATGGAAAATGTTTGGAAGATCTTAGCAAGAAAAAAATATGATCAAGAAAAACCCCACATCAATATTATTTCTCAACTTAAACAAAGACTGCAGTCTTGTTCAAGTCTCGTGCGTAAATGCATTTCCCAACGTTAAAAAAAAAACGTGTTACCACATCACGGAAAAACTACTGGAGGGATTTTGATGAAATTTGGTATGATGATAGCTGGTTATCCGGGTCAACATATAGGATACTTTTTATTGCGAGAAAATATCTCATATCTGAGAAATCTATACTAAACCTTAAAACGTAAGTAGGGACGAGCCCGAGCGGAGCGATCGTGAGTAGCTTGTATTTTGTATAAAATTGCTGAACTATGACTGTTAAGTATTTGTCAAAAAAAACTATACTAACTATAGATATATTAATAGAACGTACTAGAAAATAGTGGGTATTAATTAAAAGGCCTATTCACGAAAGCATGTGTGAATCTTTTAAGTTCTAAGATGCACTCACAATAACTTTTTATCTTTAAAAAACTTATCTAGTTAGACGACGCACCAGAGCGAAGGGAGGGTAAGTGACTAGTCATTATAAAATTTATTTTCATTTTGTACGAATTTTGTTGAAATTATAAACACAGTTTAAATATTATATTATGTGTAATTTAATTATCATTTACTATTTAATAATGATGATATAAAATCGCCGGCACCGTGTAATATTTTTTGTTGTAACAGCTTACGGCATTAAATGCGATATCGATGAAACAATAAAATATATTATGATGAATAATTGCGACTAATAGAAATGTATTATATTGTATACACATTATATAATATTAAAGAATATTAGAACGTAGTGTTAGATACTGATACATGTGTTCTAATCAATACTTATTTCCTACTTGCAAAGTAAAAATAAAGGGTTTTTTTTTATATTATATTTACTAAATTATTAACTAACTCGTAATTGAGAATTTTCATGTAAAGTAAACAACAAATACCTATGCGCCTACAATAGATTTATTTACCAAATGTAGTGTATAATGACAGTATTTTTTATAAATAAGTAATAGGTGAATTTATTAGTAGATAGTTAACATAGTACTTAACTGACAAGTATCTTGGTCTATTAAAATTACCAAAAGAAAGGTATAATTAGGTACATCGTTATTTATTTTTCTATGCTGCTAATAAGCATATTTTATTGATAAACTAGCGACTCACCCTCGCTTCGCTCGGCTTCGTACCTAGGTACGTTTTAAATTAAAATGGATATACCTAGTATGTTATCCTTAAGAGATAGACATATGCCATCGCGGACTTTTCTGTAGACCTATATAAGATACACAATTCCACCATACATTATTTTCTTATACCTCAAAGGGTTTAGGCAGCGTTTTCGTTGAAAGCTCCCAGACGTCTTATTTTTTCCGACACCTCCAACAAATATCGTTATATTTAAGCCAATGTATACAAAAACTTAACAAATTATATACTAAAACCTTCCTCTTGAATCACTATCTATTTAAAAAAACCGCATCAAAATCCGTTGCGTAGTTTTAAAGATTTATGCATACATAGGGATATAGGGACAGAGAAAGCGACTTCGTTTTATACTATGTAGTGATATGAGTATATCCGCTGGTAGCTTTTAACCTCAATTACAAACTCGCGAAATACTCAATTATCCTTAGCTAATGTCAAATAAATTACGCGAAAGCTTTCCACAAAATGATAAGACACAAACATTGAAACAATAGGCGATGAATGATGGTGGTGGTAGCCGGCCTAACATTGTTACGAGTTTACAAAACGGTCCTACCGTTTTGTAAACTAAACGCTTTTAAGTACATTTTAGTATTTAACACATTATATTACAAAATGTAAATAACATTTACAAGTAATAGCAAATAACCACTTACCATAAAAAGATTTTTGATAAGAAATTGGCATTTTCGTGAGGATTTTTTTCTTTAAGTACAACTTTCGAATCCATCTTGAAATGTAACTTTTATCATAGAAATATATAATAATATTCTTAATCAAGACTTTAAACTAACGAATAAAATAGGGTAATACATGAACAATGTTTTATTTCAATTATTTGGACTTTTTATTTTTAATTAAGTAGGTACGTAAATATTATCAAATATGAGCATGTAAATATCGTCACTGAATCGGGATTTGTAAACTGTAATAAAAAACGTTCACTATAATTTTATGCACCAAATGAATCACTCATGAATTTTAAAATAAATTTGCTAGCAGCATGTGCGCGAGGCCGCTCATGCTTTAACGGACTGAACTGAAGTCTGAAGTTGAACCGTGAGCGTGTGTCGTGTCCGGTGTCGGTAAACATCGAGCGACGCGAATCAAGACTGTCGGCTCTCACTGTACCTCTCGCTCTTCAGTGCCTGTACTCACTACTAGTCTGCGGTCTGCCTATCTATACATACACTTCCACATGATCCCGATACATGCTGAATCATTGCTGTTAATGTATACAATATAAGTACATATAAGTTATACATAATGAAAATATCTGAAAGCTCTTAATTAAAACACATGATAATGATATTTTTGTCTCCTTTTACGTAACTTTAGATACATATAATATGTATATAAATCGTGAATTTTAAATGATTTTTGTTTTTATTAATGTTCAGTCAAATATAACAGGATTGCTTTTTCTAAAACTCGTAATGTTTAAAATGTGTTAAAGTAAGTACATAGAAGATAGACACATAGAAAATTTTGTTTCAGGAGAAAACTACTTGCAGTCTAAAAATATGTAAATAGGTCAAGGATAGATATAAGTGTTTATGAATTACGTATGTAGGTATGTACGTAGATATCGATTTTATAAATTTATCATTACCTATTAAAACGTCTATTTTACGTTTGTTTTGATACTTCTACTTTTAAACTAATACTTGCCGATGAATAATATAAGTACAATACCTTCTCGATTTTATATAAGTTATTTAAAAATATATATTTATGTTCAAATTAATATACAATGAATGTACTTTACGTTACATACTTCTTACTCCTCTATTTTCAAGTTTAAAGTTAACCTTTAGTGTTAATAGTGCGTAACTGCAAGTCGCGTGCGATTTTTATACGATTTTTATACCTACTAATACCTTCTATAATTATAAAAAGCTAAAGTTTATGAATTGTGTTTGTGACGTTGTAGGGGATAATCTCTGGATCTACTGAGCCGATTTAGATGAAATTTGGTAAGGGGAAGGACATAGGATAGTTTTTATCCCGGAAATCATCCCTTAAGGGGGTGACAATGGGGATAATAGTTTGGACAACCTAGGGACGAACCCGAGCGAAGCGAGGGTAAGTCGCTAGTAATAATAATATTTTGTGATCTAAAAAAATCTTCTAATCAATCTTTGCGGTTTAATAACGCCATTGTTTTTAATACCACAACTGTAAATAGTTGGTGTACGGGAAAAATTGCACAATAATAATTTATATACCACATTTACCTTTGTTATACTTATCTGGGGGCACGGCAGAGTCCCCACCAAGTCGAGTAAAAAAGGGCACAGCCGTAATACCCTTTTCTCGAAACCATTCAGGACATTGTCGACCCCCAATTTTCATCAAAATCTGTCCAATGGTTTTCTCGTGATGCGGTAACAGACAGACAGACAGACAGAAAGACAGACAGACAGACAAAAATTCTAAAAACTATAGATTCGGAGTCTGTATCGATAATAATGTCTATTTCAATTAGATTTTCCAAACGATATTTAATGTACAGATTCGACATTGTTACAATATTATTATATGTATAGATTAAAACATGTAACAGCTTTCCTTATAGAAACGAGCTACGGGTATGGTGTTAAAGGGAAAACATATAAGAAAATCAAAATGGCCGAAATCATACTGGTCTCACGATATAAATCCGCGGCGAGAACTAAAAATTAATAAGATTGCTGAATGCCGGGCCATCCGAATTCGATACGAGCTATGGGAGTGGATTATTATTACTAGGAATAATAATCTACAACCACAATAGTAATTTGCAAATTGAAATTAGTCTTTATAAAATGTTATTATTTAACTAATTAGGTCACAATTTATGACAAGTTGTTGGATAAATGCTTCCATATATAGAGACTAAATAAATTAACCGACCTGTTTTACGGTAGAACAACTGCGTTGCGGGACTTGCATTTTTTTACATTTTATGTTTTTCATGGGATCTGCACTTTTAAGGTTGCCCACAAGATGGCGCATAAAGGGGACTCTATTGGCGGTGATTAAATGTCCATAGTGAGTAGTGACTGTCTTCAAAACTAACGACAGTAGTTTACTATATGTACATACCTACTACATAATAGTAGTATGTAAGTGCGAGTTTCCTAATTCATTTAAATGACTTCACCGTCGTGTTAATTATGAGATAAATCTGTACATATCATAAAATTGTAACTAAGCCAAATCTGTATATTAAATATTTTTTGGAAAATCTTATTGAAAAAGATATTATTATCGATAGAGTCCGAATCTATAGTTTTTAGAACTTTTGTCTGTCTGTCTGTTACCGCATCACGAGAAAACCACTCGACAGATTTTGATGAAATTTGGTATGATGATAGCTGGTTATCCGCGTCAACATATAGGATACTTTTTACCGCGGAAAAACATCTCATTTCTGAGAAAAAATACAAAAACTACATTGTAAGAGTATACTAATATTTAAAAACTAAGAATTTGGTTTTTGGTCATCTTACGCGGGCGGAGCCGCGGGCAATGCTAGTAAAATATAAATATTGAGAAGGGCCAATTTCACCAGGTGTTTTTCAAAATGTATGTAAATTATAAAACAATTTATACACTACGACCCTCTAACAATAGTGTGTATTCCTCAATTCCTCAATATTCTATCGGGTCGGTAATTTTCTTAAACATTCATTCATTTATCTATATTAATAATATTATAAAGAGGTAAAGTTGTGAGTTTGTGATGTTGTAGGGGTAATCTCTTCCCCCCCAACGTGCGTTCACCTTGTCGTGGTGGGGGGGCTCAGTAGTGCCCGGCAACCCGGCCGGGCGCGAAGCCAAGAAACGCGCAGGGAGGTGGCCCACTTCGGTGGGCGGTGGGAGGTGGCCCTCTTCGGAGGGCGGTGTACCATGCGGGTTGCTCCTGGTACTTCTCTGATAGCAGAGTGGACTGTGGAGCAACCCCGTGGTTGTTGTGGTCTGCTTCGGCAGACCTGCCGTCGGGGCGTCGTAGTTGAATGCGTAAGCGATCCTGCGACGCCCCATTAAGACGGGGGAAGGCTTTGTTGGGTTTTAGTGGGTAGTACTGGCTTTGCCGGTGAGTCCCACACCTCGTGCGTAAATGCATTTCCCAACGTTAAAAAAAAAAAAAAGGGGTAATCTCTGGATCTACTAAACCGATTTAGATGAAATTTAATAAGAAGATACTTTGAGACCCTGGGAAGGACATAGGATACTTTTCATCCCGGAAATCATCTCTTAAGGGTGTAAAAATGGGGATGAGAGTTTGTATTGGGAATCAAGCTAGTATCAACAATAATTAACGATGCTCATATGACATTACCTATGTTTTTACTATGTAACCGTTGCCTTTGGTGTTTCACACCTATGTAGTGTTAACTCCTTCTCCGTAATAACTTATAGTCACGAACTGCACAACGCTTAGTTTATTAACAAATGTTGTAATTAAAAAATATTTTTTATTGAAAATACTAGCGTTAACTTAATTAACACCTCCAGGTAAATTTCTAAGAAATCAATTAAATACTAAATTTCTAAGAAATCTATTGTTAACTGTAACGCCGGCGTGTCCGCGGTCGTGGAGATTAACGGTTTAACGTTTAGTATAGATTTCTCAAAGATGAGATATTTTCCCGCAGTAAAAAGTATCGTACCTATATATGTTGACCTATCACCATACCAAATTTCATCAAAATCTGTCCAGTGGCTTTCTCGTGATGCGGTAACAGACAGACAAAAATTCTAAAACCTATACATTCGGCCTCTGCATCGATAATAATGTTTATTTCAATAAGATTTTCAAAAAAATATTTAATGTACATATTCGGGTTAGTTACAATTTTATTGTATAGATTTGTCAATTGTCAGACAATAACAACGGTTACCATTAGGGATGGGACATTTCACGAGTAGCAAGTGAAAAATCACGTGATCACAACTTGGTGAAATCTAGAGCTGTAGCAAACCGTATGTATTCGTTACTGAAAAGTAGCAATCATTTCCATGCTTAGTTACCATGGCAACAAACGTACCTACATTTCTTCGCAACGCATTCACCAGCTTACCCCTGTCAGCTTACACTGTCAAGCATGCGTAAAGAAGTTTTTCAAAAATAGTTGTGTATACCTTAGAAGACAGATGCTACAGCGGACTTTTCTGTAGGCCTTTTTAAAATCTACAATTTTTTAGTATAGGTATTGTTTTGATGTATCTCCTAATAGACCAGGGCTGAAGCTTTTGAAAATGGTAAAAAGTGAAAAAAATAATAATAGTAGGATGAAACCCATAGGAAAGGGAAGATAATATAATAATAAAAACTTTTAAACAAAAAATAAAAACCGTATGTAAAAAATAACTAAAGCGGACGTTTTCATTTAGAATAGATACCTAATCAGATATTTTCGAAGTCGGTGCCAGCCGATGGAAAGCAAATCTAATATTATATTTCGATACGTAAATTCATATTTACCTTATTGGATATTCATATATTAAAATATTCTAAATGAAAACCTCCGTTCAGTTATTTTTTACATTTTAGTGCCTGTGGAAGTAGTTTTTTTTTTAAGTTTTTATTTTTCCATTTTTAGTGTAAATGTAATAAGCGGGTAATTCGTAAGAAAAAAGTTTTTTTAATAACATATTCGATTAAACAATGTATTTTTTTTTTAAATATAATTTATTGCTGATTTAAAAAAAAAACAGCTAAATAGATTTCGATAATATTTATATGGGACCACCCGGGAAGTATACCCTTCGAAACAAAAATAAAAATATTTCAAAATCGGTTTAGGCACGGTAATACGCATATCATTACCGTGGTTCAGGGCGACTTCGAGTAATCGGTAAACATACATAAAAAAAAGATTCCGAATTGAGAATCTCCTCCTTTTTGGAAGTCTGTTAATATACGGTATTTAAAAGAAAAACACAATTTTTAAAAATTTTGTCAGTCTGTTTGTTCCGGCTAATCTCCGAAACAGCTAGGCCGATTTTGACGGGACTTACACTAGCAGGTAGTTGATGTTATAAGGAGTAACTTATAATACTTTCTTAGATTTACGCAAATGTTTGACATTTTTAAATAAAACTATCTTTTCGGATTATTTCGCGGATTTATTTTGATCTTTGGTTCCCGACGTTTCGAATGCTTTACAGCATCCATGGTCACGGGAGAGACTGAGGTGTTACATGTCTTGAAGGTATAGTTGTTACAGACAGCCTACCCACAATTAACAAAATGAAAATTGCACCAATTACATTACAATATTTTTTTAACTTTAAACATTTTTATATTATAAAAATCCGAAAAGATAGTTTTATTTAAAAAAGGAGTAACTTAGGCTACTTTTATTTCAGTAAAAGAATTAGGGTTCCGCTCAAAAAAATTAAAATGCACCTAGGGACGAACCCGAGCGAAGCAAGGGTGAGTCGCTAGTATAGTATATTTATATACAAAGGAAAATAAAAATATTAATCATCCAAGCAATATTATTGTTCTATAATCTCGAAAACAGTATATTTTATGTTCAAGAAAATTTTATAACATTTAATTTTTATCGTTGGTTTGTAATAAATAAGAAGCGTAAATTTAAATTACAAATAATGTTTATTCATATTAAAATTCATTTTTATTATGCTAACAGAGAAAACACACACTGCGAGCTTGTTGGTTGTTAACAAAGTGAGCGAAGATGCGTAACAGCAAGACGAGTAACATGGTGAACACAACCATTCACCCAAGGGAGTCGAAACTGCGATCGAGTGCATTCAGGGATATTCAACACCGCGCCGAGATAGTGGCAGACCTGTCAAAAAGATAAATAACCCTCAAATGTTTGCTTTAGAATATAATTATTGTTTATGCATTATTGATATATGTAAATACAAAAAATGTACTTTAAATGAAACAAACTTTTCAGTCACAGGAGACATTTCAGTCTCTCCCGCATGACCATGATTGCTGTAAAGCATTCGAAACGTCGCGTACGGAACAAAATTCAAAATAAAACCGTGACAAAATGTGAAAAAAGTAGTTTCATTTAAATTATCAAATATTCGCCGCGTAAATCTAATAAACTATTATAAAAAAACATGCCTATAATAAATATTAAGTATAGTAGGCGCGCGAGTTCATGTCCATCGGGGCCTGAGGTGAGGCGCGGGGGCAGCGCGCTCCGCTTTCACCCACCTCGCCGCATTCGTCCTCAGTCGAATGTTGTCCTTGACGGTGACGCGCGCTTGTCGATACTTAAAACTATTGACCGCTATTGTATTGTTTTTTGTGTACGAAACCATGAGTACTTCGCCTTCAACAAGTTCAAGTAGAAAAAAAACCTTATATAATACATAAGCAAGCACGAGAAATAGCGAGAAATGTGATGTTTTATAATTTATTTTCCTATTTTTTTTTGTAATAAATTATTTACAAGGTATTGGGTGCATTTATTTCATAAGTTGCAAAATTATTTACTTCCTTAAAGTTGCAATAAATATGGGATAGATATTATGGTTGACCAAATGAGATTATCGATATCGACATTACTATGGGTCACAGAACTACCGCATTCCTCAGGATGGACATGAACTCGCGCGCCTACTGTAGGTCAATCTAAATAAACTTGAAGCATACTTACATAAACTGAGAATATAAACACATGCACACAATAAAAAAAATCACAAAATGTACGATATTTGCCTTACCTTTGTTACACCTCTTTTTACTAGAAAATGTGGACTCCATAACTTCTCTAGATTTGTAACATTCTCATTATGTGATCTTATCGCATTCAACCTGCAAATTATATCGTATTTAAAAAAATTGCAAGTATTAGAAGCATTGGGTTAGTATGAAGTATGTAGAAAATTAAAAATAGACTAAATTGATTAATCTTATTGAAATTGATCGTCTTATAAATATAAAACTTATAATCTACCTATACTTTTATATTAAGATATATTTGCTCTAATAGCAAGTTCATATTATATTATTAATTCATAAATTTATTGCTTTTATGAGCATCCTCATTTGTTTCATATCAGTGTTTACATGCTTTCATTATGAGAACTATTACTGTAGTCACATAGTGTTACTTGTATTTAACATGTATTATAGATAAATAGCAGCAGAATGTCTTAATCTCTTTTATATTCATTCATTTCATAGAAATGCCCTTTTATTCTAAAGATATTTTTTATATTTCTAATGCTATTGCATTAATATTTCAATCATAACCATCAGCGTTGCTTGTATAATAATAAATAAATCTTAATTAACTTTGTTTTAAAACAACTAAATTAAAAAAATGAGTAAATAATGATTACCTGTCTGTCATTCATCAATAATAATTATCTCCAACATTGTAGCTTAAACTACTTGCATTAATTCATATTGGTGTTGCTCATGTGAAGTTTGTGCAAGTCTAATTTTTTTTTCAATTTTAGTGTTACTAGTATTTCATAACTGACATATTATAATAAAAAGATTCATATTTAAAAATATAAAATAAAACCTAATAAAAATGACCTGAGTCCCAAATTTAAGATAGTTTCCTTATTTATATTAATGAATAAGCTTTTATAACAATCTCTATCATTGTATGTATTTAAGTACCAATTCACGCCATTTTCTTATTCTGTTTCTCAATTTCACTCAAATGTAACTTATACTGGCATAACTGTGGTCTCAAAGTAATTATCTGAATTAACTAAGCTGTTCTTTCTTGTCATTTTGTTCTTAAGTAAAATATTAAACTGATAATTGTATTGTAATTAATTATGTCTACCACAAATAATTTACTCTACAATACGGTTTTTATATTATATTAAATAATAAGTAGATTATTTAAAGATTAATAAAAATAAACTGCACACAATTTCTCTATTATAATTTTATTACGAATTGTTCTTAATATCTAAACATGGTACCTACTTATACCATCAGTTACAACTTTGTTTAATACAAAATGTATTATCATAAATCTCATTATTATTAATATGTGCTGACTTGTAAATGTAACAAATTAAAAAAGTCTAATTCATAGAAATCCTATATTTTTAATTTTTTTTATAATAAAATATGTGATTTTATCAGTAACATCGTCATCTTTTATGAATGTCAATTCTTGTATGTTAACATTAAAATCTATTTTTCGTTTAATTGTACCTAATTATGATATTATGATAAAATGAATAAAACCATTGCATCCATTTATGCTTCAGATAATTGATCCAGCTACTAACATATAGTGTTGCATAAAGATGGTTCAAACTTTTTCTTAGTCAAACATCACCAACTGCCTGTAATACAAACAATAACAAAAATATTGATGCTTTGCCAATATTGGTTCAAAAAGCTTTAAACAATTATTCATTTGCATAAAAGCTTAATGGAATTAATTGTCCTGGTTAGTATTAATATATATGTATATAACAATGCACCTTTCACATCTACAATATATTTTAAAAACGAGTTTTACTGAATTATACTCTACAGTCACAAAGCTGGAATGTTTTCAACATTATATATATTTTTTCTTAATATTGTTTTAGTATCATCATTATTCACAATTTGACTTTATTGTTCAATGTCTCGTATTGTACTAGGATGCAATCATCCATACTTCTTAAACAATTACAAAGACATTTAGCTACAACATCAACTTATCAAATCCATACAATTTTGTAATCAATAAAATATAATGAGAAGAATATTGCTAAATATTGTTTATGTAATATGAATTTATTTTTATGTTAGAATACATATATTTTTATGGCACCATTATTGTATTGCATGAATAATACTGATGGTTTATATAGCGTATTTGCAAATTCTTGAACTCTTTAGTTCTTTCTACTAACATCATTAAAATTTCTTACAAGTCACATCCGGCCATAGTAGCTCATACTAATCTATGTAGCATTAAAAAATAATTTTGAATTTCTGCAACTTAATAAAGTATTAGTTTTTTCATTCTGCAGTCAAAAAAAACTAATTGTAAAGAGACTTATTTTAGCACTACTACAAGATGTCGTCCATTTTTCTAGTAACTTTGACACATATTGATTTGTAGTTTGTATTTATATAGTGTAAGTTTCGACTTCATACATGAAAATTTTCTTTAGAAAAACCCTATATTATAGTCTAATTGTATCATATAGTTACCTTAATATAATGTAAATATTTTTTCATATTAAGATCTAATAAGATCTGATTTTAAATTAGTACTAGGAAAATAAATTAATCATTTTTATCAAGAATTTGTATTGCCTAATCCTTTTAAAACAGACACCTTATAGAATGTTATTTACTTAGCCGAATTCACTAAAAATATGACTAGAATTTAGTCAGCTTTACTGCACCCAAAAGGCAGCATGAGCTAATATTTCTTGTACTTACCATAGGTGTTATTGTACTGCGATTGTGGCTGCTGATATGTGTTGTAACAAGGCTGCGAGTAGGAGTCGTAGGCGGGCGCGGGCCCACGGTACTCCGGCCCGGCCGCCCCGTACCCGGCGTCGCCGGCACCACCCGGGTTATTACTGCAATGTTTACATTAATTCCAAAAATTTCAATATTTTTATATCTATTGTTAACGTTTTTTATTCCAAAAATTTAAATACTTTCATAGCCCCTTGTTTTATTTTTATTTCATAGTATATTATGACAATAATTATATAACTCTATCATGATCTTATGTTATGTAAAGTAAATATAAGTAATTACAATGTCACCCATACAGATAGTGTATGGTATGGTATGGTATGTATGGTATGGTATGTATGGTATGGTATGTTCGGGCTGTTTTCCGCAACTCGACGACTATGCGCCTATTTTGCGTGTGTGGGAATTTAACTTCTTGTTACTCTTGCCATCCCAGTTCCTCCAGGAATTTCAGGAACCTCTTTGTCTTGCCGAAAATTTCCGGGAGTGACCTAGGAGTGCCAAGATGTTGAGCCCGGTACGCCGCTACACCTGGACAATACAAGATCACATGTGCAGCCGTTTCATCTGCCCCCATGCATGCCCTGCAAAGTGGACTGTCAGTTATACCTATATTAAATAGATGTTTATTATATGGTCCGTGGCCAGTTAAGGCCGCGGTTATTTGCCTGAGTTGAGGTCTGTTAAGTTTGATGATACGGTTCGACATTTTGGCATCAATGTTTGGAAGCGATTCTTTCGCCTGTCTGCAGTCTACAACTTCACGCCATACATTGTTGTGTTGGCGTTTAGTTCGTTGTCGAATTTGGCCTTTGAGCCAGCAAGAAGGTAACGAGACGATGGGCTCTGGTCCTATCGCCGTCATGTCCGAACCCCTTCTTGCTAGCTCATCTGCCCTATCGTTCCCCCACGAGTTACTGTGGCCTTTGATCCATTGTACGGTGATCTCATTCCGGTCACTTACCTGTGTCAAGGCCTTATGACATTCATAGATCATACCTGATGTGGTAGAATTACTATTTAATGCCTGTAGTGCTGACATGCCGTCTGATAATACGCGGATGGAGCAGTCTTCCACCTTCTTTGTCGCAATTGTTCTAGCTGCCTCAAGTATACCTAGACTTTCAGCTTGAAACACCGTGTTGTAGGTACCTAGAGGTATTGATGTTTATGTTTAGATCATCGGAGAAAGTGCCACAGTCAGTCCCCGATTTGGTTTTCGAGCCTTCGGTGTAGATTCTTAGGTCCTTGCTGTCGCAACCCTCACATGTATCTTCCTCCAGCTGTATTTTATATTTTTTGTCAAAAATGTATTTTATTTGTATTCCATCATTGGGTGCTCCCATGAGAGGAATGTCTTTGGCGACGTCTATTAGGATTTTTGTGTGTGGAGTGCCTGTTTTCCTTAGCAGTTTTTGACTATCTAGTCTTATCGCGGTAGTCGCAGCCTCTTGTTGTATAAACAAGTGAAGCGGTAAAAGGTTTAGCATGGCTTCGAGAGCTGCGCTTGGTGTTGTTCTCATGCAGCCCGTCACTGCCATGCACACCAGCCTTTGCCAGCTTTGTAGCTTAGTTTGTGCTGTGGTCAAAAGTGTTCTACGCCACCATATTAAGTCACCATAGCTGATCATAGGTCGTATTACCGATGTATATAGCCATAAAGTTATTTTGGGATTTAGGCCCCATTTTTTACCTATCATCCTTCGGCATTGCCAGAAGGTAATACTGGCTTTGTTTAGTAAATTGTCTAGGTGTTTAGACCCATTTAGTTTGCTATCTAGAGTGATTCCAAGGTATTTTACCTCTGTAGTGTAGTAGTGTAATGGTGGTTATGAATTTGTATGCTTTGACAAAGTAGTTTTGACGATTACTGACACAACCTTGACCATGTAATAAGTAAACGAGCAATCAAAGCACACCACTTTGATGTGGCCATTCATCAAAGTGGACTTGAACCATGTTTTACTTTTCTCAAAGTCTGCTTTGACAAAGTAGTTTTGATGACTACTTTGGTTGTGTCAACGAGAAATCAAAGCGCACTTTGACTTTGTAAACGAGGCTTAAAACATGTATAATAAGTACTATTTTAATTTATTTAATTCACCAATATCACTTTTATTTTCATTTTTTTCCATAGTTAAAAGGGGCATAAGATCCACCTGATGGTGAGTGGTATTGTCATTCATAGAACCTGCAATATAAGAGGAGTTGCAAATGCGTTGCCCGCCTTTAAGGGACCTGAAGACACGACTCTTGAAGAGCCTTATAATATAGCGCACAGGGAAAACCTCAGGAGGAAGATTGTTCCACAATTTGCACAAACTATTACAATAATTGAGTAATACATATTATAAATTAAATTCGAGTTTGTATTTTTTTGGGCTAATCTCAGAAGTGACTGCACATATTTTTATACTTTTATGCCAATAGAAAGAGGATTTATTTAAGGCTAAAGAAATCTAGGAACTAATATTGTAAAGTGAACTTACCCATAACTTTCATTTTCATAGCCTTGACCCCCAGTTGAGTATCCATAGTTGGATCCGTATCCCCCTGAGTTATAGCCGGAGTTAGGTTGAGCAGGTGCTTGTGATGAGTAGTTGCTCTGATATGAACTACAAAAAAAAACATCAATTAAGAAAAAAGAAAAAACTTTAGTAGTCTAAAAAACTTATATAACCTTCTCAGAGTATAAAATATCTGCATCTAAGTATCAGACGGCAATTCCTATCATGACAAAAGTTTCATCATTAAAAGTAGAAAAAAAAATAGATATAAAATTACTTTATAAAATATATATTACCTTGAGGTATTGTATGACTGTGGTGGATATGGGTCTGCAACTGGCTGCTCGTAGGGTTGGTAGCCTGTGTGCCTAGATGGGAATATAAATTTTGTTTATAAAATAAAGCAAAAAGGCATAAATGTTGAATTAATTATTTTTCAATTCAGAATAATTTATAGCGTCATATATGTATCAGACGGCACATTCCTATCGTGTTTCTGGATCATCATTTGTTATAAAAGTTATAAATATTCATATTAATAAATAAAAATTTTCACTTTGAAATACTGACTTTGCGATAGCCAATGGTTCCCCAGTATATTACACAGTATAATTATATATAATTAATTAATGTAGGTATCTAATCTACTATTCATAGCACAATAAGCAATACACATGCTTGCTTATTTTTTTTAAATTAATATTTTTACAGTCAACACATACGATACTGGTCCATAGCCATTAGCTGGGGGAGCGTTGTGTGGTGGTGCAGATTGTTGGTAGACCCCAGATGGTGGTGGTCTACTGCCGCCTCCACCTCTTGGTCCTTCAAACCTGTATATAAATACAAAAATTAAATTTTCCTGTACATGAAGGTGCTCATGTGACCATTTGACCAAAAATGAATTAACCTTCCCCGCTTTGGCGGTCCACCTGCGCCACCATGTGGAGGTCCTCCGCCTCTTTTGAAGGCCCCCCCTTGTGGTGCTCCCCCTGCTTGATGTGGCGCTGGCGCTGAACGCGGTGGAATGTTTGGTCCAGCAGACTGTACAGGTGGTCCATGAGGTCCAGGCCCTGGATGAGGTCCGGGACCACCCGGTGGTCCACTTGGCGGACCATGACCACCTCTACCTCCTCGCCCTATAATTAACACTAGTTGTAATCTCATTTTGAATTAGTTTAAGTTAATTTTTAAAATAACATTTACCTCTCATAGGCATTCCACGTCCACCTCTATCATTTCGGGGTCCAAAATCCCCTCTGCCTCTACCACCTCTTCCTCTCATTCCACCAGGACCACCTCTGTTATTATTAAATCCTCCTCCTAAAAAGATTCCATAAGTGTTAACCACAAATACATAAATAACTAGACAAACGAGAGTGAAAGGAATAGTGCACTGGTGCCTGTGCACTTGTATTACACATCAATAGCCTTTCTATCAGTTTGTTTTTTTCTTTTCAATTTCTTTTTGCACTAGATATCTTGTTTATTGAGGAAGGCTGTAGGCTATATAAACATCATGCTACTACCCAAGGGAGCGGAGCAGTAACGTAACATATACTCTATCTATTCCAAACTAACTTTTAAAACATACCTAGGAACGAACCCTTGCAAAGCGAGGGTGAGCCGAGTATTCATATCTTAAAAGTATTGTCGGCTGGCACTGACTTCGAAAATATCTGATTAGGTATCTATTCTAAATGAAAAGCCATTTATTATAAAAAAAATTTTATTGTTGATTTTTTTTAAAATGGCTCGACTGATATTGATAAAATTTAAACAGTGGTATCTTCGAATAATTGGTGAACCTACATAAAAAACGACAAATTAAGAACCTCCTCCATTTTTAAAGTTACTTAAAATGAAATTATAGTGAATCTTCGGCTGAGATTTTTAAAATGTAAAGACAATTTGTTTTATAAATCCCTAGTGTCACGAAATTAAGGATCATTTAACTAAACTCAAGCTTAATGTACTAAAAATACTTTGTTTTTCATTAATCACCATTTATAACTAAAGCTTCCATATGCAAATCTGGAAATTTTAAAGCAAAGCTCTCTAATTGCTTAATTACTAAGTTTTAGCTTAATACCTGATCTTTGATGCCAGACTATGATGTGCTTCTTGTTAAAATAGTGGTGCTTAACTTCAATTAAGATGATGCTTAGTCAACACAAGATCCTATAAAGATATTTAAAAGCATCACATTCTCAATTATCAAAATATATTATTTTGTGCTTACTTTGTGGGGGTCCTCGAGATTCAATAGTGGGAACGGGATGAGGTCCCGGTCCTTGTGGTCCAGGTGGAAATCGACCACCTCTTTCACCGCCACCTCCACGCATTGGCCCACCTCGAAAGCCTCGCGGTCCCCCACGTGGTGGTCCCCCACCCCTGGGAGGTCCTCCACGACCTCGCATTCCCGGTCCACCTCTAAAAGAGCAAAAGTAAGAGACTGTTAAAGTTACTAAAAAAACTAACCTCTTTCGTTAACCTAAAATAATATACTACTTTATTGTCATTATACATATTTACTAGAATGTATTGTATTAAATAGAACTTAGGTTTAAAATTCTGAAATTCAAGTAATGTATATATGTATAAAATACCTACCTTCCACGCATGTCAAATCCACCACGACCTCGAGGACCCGGGCCTCCGCGTCCACCACCGCCGCGGAAACCTCGATTCGGACCATCCATAATTATAGAGCTTATAAACTATAGAAGTCAATACTAATAAGTTACAATAAATAAAACTTGTACGTTTATTCTTATTCCATTGGTAACTACACTGCAACAATTGATGCAACGTCCATTTATTTAGTAGCGTCACCTAATGTGATCAAAATGGCGCGAGCCGCGAGCAGTAGCACAAAGACAAACTTTTTCTACGGTACGCCCGGCGCCCGTGACTCGTGAGCATACTAGCTTTATAGTTTATATATGTAGCAATATACTCTATGATACTAGCATAGAGTAACAGAGTCAGTGTTGCCAGCTCGGATTTTGAAAAAGGCGTTGGCCAGATTAGAAAGTTACGTAGAAAAAATAAAATTTCCCTATAGAAAATACATAGATCTACGTACTTTTTTTCTGAGTGAAATGAAGAGAGTAGGGTTGGTAAAAGTGAATAAAACGACAATTTATATGACCCTTAAAGTAGCAGACAACAGACAAACAAAAAATTAAAAAAAGACCCTTATACTATAAAGCTTTTAATATATAGCAAACGAAAAAATCTATGAATTACCACTTGTAAATAATTAAAAAAATTACCACTTGTAGATTATTTAAAAAAGTTTGCTACTTTCCGAGTCATCATCAATTGATTTAAATTATTTAATTTTTATTATAATTTTCAGACAAATTAAATTTGTACATAATATATATATTAAAATGTTTATGTGTTCCTGCGAATTCTCGCGGTTTATTTTTAAACCACTTTTCGTAAAAAGTAAGCCGGTTAGCGTGTCAGTGTGAAGTTTGTTTCATAAGTTAGTTTTCATCAAATAGATCGCAGAAAACAGACGTAGAATGTTTTGTGGAAAAATATCGAAATTGAACAACTCCTTCGAAATCTTAGTTCGGACTTCGAAATATTTTTTAAGTCAAGACTTAAGATTCACTTTTACGGCAAGACGTTTTCGTTTTACAGTCACTTATGTCTAAGTCCTATGGAAAGTACAAGAGTATGTAACCTTGCTCGAATTACGAGTATGTGCTACACAGATTGTAGAAAGTAGAAATCAGCGTTGTTGAAAGTTGTCAGATGGTTGTCAGCATAGAATCCGTCTCACGAAAGATCAAAAAAGTCCCGCAGGCGCGGCGCTAGCAAGGCTGTGAAAAAAATACGATTTTTATATTAATCGATTATTTTATTCTTATAATCGATTTTTAATGAACCGATTATATTACTAACTCTTTTTTGAAAGTAAAAAAGATAACTTATGTGTTGTTGGATTAAACCAATTTAGCCAAACTACACATTTTATCGTTTTGTTTTATATACATTTCAATAAAATGTTAAATAGTATTAAAAATAGTAGCAATAATTTTATTCAGTTTCCTCACTATTTAAGTTTAAAAAAAAATTTGGTTTGTTTTTCAGTTTTAAAACTAAGATTGTTGTTTTAGTTATCGACTTGATAATTTTAATATTATATACAAAAAAAAATTAAACTTTTCGAATACATTGCGATAAACTTTTGCACTTGGTAAAAATATTATATAAAAATACATTATAATAAATATATTTATAATATCTGGTATCCATAACTCGGGCCTCATAGCTTACTATGGAACTAGGTGGTGCTGTGTGTTAATGTCCCAACAAATTTATATTTATACGGTCTGGGAGGACCACCCTTATCCTTATCACTTAGGGGTATGGAAAATAGATAGTAGCCGATTCTCAGACCTACTGAATGAACGCATATAAAATTTGGTAAAAATCGGTAAAGCCGTTTCGGAGGAGTACGGTAACTAACATTGTGACATGGAAATTTTATATATAAGATTATCCTACCCCTGATACTCTATAATCATCATATTCTCTCGTATATTACTTTGTAGGTCACTACGTGAGTCGCCCATATAATAATACTTCTCTAAGATAAGTCGCTAGTCTATACATATAATAAAATTCTATCTAAGCCGAATCTGTACATTAAATATTTTTAGAGAAATCCTATTGAAATATACATTATTATCGATACAGAAGCCGAATCTATAGTTTTTAGAATTTTTTGTTTGTCTGTCTGTTACTGCATCACGGAAAAACCACTGAAAGGATTTTAATTAAATTTGGTATGATGATAGATGATCCGGGTCAACATATAGCTGATACTTTTTACTGCGGGAAAATGTCTAATTTCTGAGAAATCTATACTAAACGTTAGAACGTAAGTAGGGACGAACCCGCGCGGAGCGAGGGTGAGTCGCTAGTTGATTATAAATGTGAACATTCGGCTATATAGTTTTGAAGCTGATGTGACATCCTATATTTTTGCATCGGGTTTATGGGACACACGGATACTTGAGCGCATTACTATATGTAAATACATTTTATTTGAGTTGGAACAAACAATCGTTTGGACTCGAATCCAATAGACTGGGGTTACACTAACAAGCAAATTATAAAAATAAAATGATCGAATAAATTTGACTGTTTGTACACATTAGTCTATCTCTATTTAACCTGTGACAAATGACAATTCATCGAGTGAACTGTCAATTGTCAAACCCTCAGGCCCAAAGAGTATAGTTATAAACTGGTCAGGCCAATCATAATAAAAAAATGAAATTTGAAACTTAAAAATATATTTGGATTCTTAGAAAACACCTAACACTTCTAGAGGCAAAACAGATTACGAAAAAGAATTAAATTAAACTTAATATTTAAGATATATTTATAACGTGGCTTCTGTACATTATTTAAACAACTGCTATTAATTCAATATTATTTCCATGGATGATCAAGCTAAAGTTTTGAAATATCTTGTGTTAGTGGAGAAATTAGCTGAAGAAATAATAAATGATAGAAGAGAAATAATAATGCTAGATAAAAGAAGAAATCAAAATAGAGAAGCTTTAAGAGAACTCTTAAAATCATCACAATCAAAATGTTGGGTGACAGTAGGGTCTGTCTTAGTGAAACATAATTTACATGCAACAAAATCTTTGTTAGAGGCAGATCAGAAACAATTAAATATAGACATAAATAAGCTTCGAAGTAATCTTAAATTAAAAGTCAATAACTTAAGAGACTTAGAAATGCAGCCACCTGTGCCTGGGCTGATGTTAGTTCCTATTTCCGATAAAGAAAATGAAGGATTATCAAGAGCTGGATTGTTTTCTTCCTAATTATATAATTTTATTTTAAGATGTAATGATACTGAATAAAAAATTATATCAATATAATTTTACATTTTACATATTTATTTCCACACAATTACTTAGATTGTGGCTGAGTTTTGGGCTGACTCCATTTAAAACTTACCATCGACACGAGAAGAAGAAGACTTAGATTGTAAAATAATGTAGAATCTAAAGCAATCATCAATATTTTTACTAACTTTAAAAAAAAAAATGTTTTATTTCGCATATCATCAATAATTATGAGAAATACAATTAATGGAAATATAAAGTGTCACACTACTATGGCTTATTTTTATTGTGCTAACCACAGAATATGATGTCTTTACTTAATATTATAAAGAGGTAAAGTTTGTGAGTTTGTGACGGTAGGGAGTAATCTCTGATCTACTAAACCGATTTAGATGAAATTTGGTTAGAAGATAGTTTGAGACCCTTGGAAGGACATAGGATACTTTTAATTAAATCATCTATAAGGGGGTAAAAATGGGGATGAAAGTTTGTATTGGGAACCAAGTTAGGGACGAACCCAAGCAAAGCAAGGTTGAGTAGCTGTATTAAATGAAGTCACTTCCGCTGTCTGTTCGCTTTGATCTTTTAAACTACTCAACAGGTTTTAATGCACTTTTCAGTAATGATAGAGGGATTCAAGAGAAAGGTTTATATGTATAATACATGCATAATATATTACAGTACAGAAAAGTTGAGAATTTCAAAGATTTGTATTTCATACTAACCGTTAAAACGTATGTAGGGACGAACTGGTGAGTCACTAGTAAGTAATACTTTTCTAGAACCAGTTTTTCTAGATGCCATCCAAAGAAATTGAACAGCGCAAAGGACTATTTTTGTTTGCTTGAGTAGATAATAACATGCTATTGATATGCAAACATCAAACTGTGTTATTTTATAAATAGTCCAAGAGCTAGTGAACCCTGGGAGTAACGGTCTCCCTGTAAGGTTAGAAATTTGTCTATTTACGGTTTATGGCATGCTAAGAGCAATAGCCATGACCTGGCAGGCGTCAGCCCTGCACGTCATCAGCCCCTTTATTTTTTGAACTGTTTAGTAAATTGAGTTTTAAAACTTGTTTCTGTAAATTTGAAAATTTAATAGGATAAAGTTTATTTATTGTACATTCTAAAAAAAAATTGACAGGCGATTACAATAAGCAGAAGTATATGACAGATCAATTAGAAAACCCACAGTTGATGAGGTAAAATAAACTTTATCCTGTATACTTAAAATTTTTATATGTTTTCAAGTAAACGTCTCAGAGTAAATATGTACAATGCCAGGCGGTTTTGAACAGCATAAGACCTTGACAGGCGAGGGGACAGCTGCTAAGGGCGTGCGAGTGAGAGATGTTGCGTGAATGCCTATAGTGCGAGTGAGTTCGTCCTTTTCAAGAAGAGGTAAAAAAAACCATTCCAAATATTGCAGAAATCGAGTGTATATCAGAAGGCATTCAAAGAATTAGGAAACGCAGAAATAGTACAGAAGAAAGAAAAAAATTTCCCGATACTAGAGAAATTTGTATGCCAAATGTATGGTTTGAAATGTTCAAAATTAAATAATGCACGTTATGAAAAGTTCCTTGCTACGTACAACACAAATAATCCTAAAGTGTTTATGAAAAAAGTAGTAAGCTATGATTCATCAAATTTACCACCCTGTCAACGTGAACTATATCAACAATTATTGAGAACTGCCTACATCTCTATATATATAAAAGAAGGTAGTGTTAGTTACACTATTTATAACTCCAGAACGGCTGAAACCGGCTAAAAATTGGCGGGGAGGTAGCTTAGAACCCAGAGACGGACATAGGATACTTTTTATCCCGTTCGACCGCGTTCCAATTTTTATGATATTTTAATTTTTGGATTACTCTTAGTCCGGAATAGGTAAGTATTAAAACATCAGAATAATTAACGAAAAAAAAAAAAATTTATATGGCTTACGCTGGCTAATAACCTTTTATATCTATTTAAAACGTACCTAGCGACGAACCCGAGCGAAGCGAGGGTGAGCCGCTAGTCTTTATATATATAAAAGAAAGTCGTGTTAGTTACACTATTTATAACTGAAGAACGGCTGAACCGATTTGGCTGAAAATTGGTGGGGAGGTAGCTTAGAACCAGGACACGGACATAGGATACTTTTTATCCCGTTCGACCGCGTTCCCGTCTGACGTGACATAAAACTCAAGAATGGGTGGAACAATTTTTATGATATTTGAATTTTTGGATTTCTCTTAGTCTGGAATAGGTTAATAAGTATTAAAACACCAGAAAAATCACGAAAAAAAATTAAGATTTATATGATTAACACTGGCTACTATTTATATCTATTTAAATCCTAGCGACGAACCCGAGCGAAGCGAGGGTGAGCCGCTAGTTACAAAATATGGCGAAATTGTAATTTAAAAGAACCAACAATTCTTACACCTGAAAATAACGGTTGGAACTTAATTGATAGTCGTTACAATTTTAATTGGTTTGAGGGGAATACGGTTCCATCTTCTATATACGACATACTTTTACAAGGACCTGCTGATACTGCCACAGCACAATCGACTGAAACTGAGGAATGCATTTCAGGTAACATACAACTATTTTATTCCGTAACATTTAATATGCAGTCCTACGTAATTGAGCTTGATATTTAATTCTTAACAACCTTATTGATTCATTTAAATATTTTTTTACTATTTTCAGATGAGGAAAACATTGTTGAAGAATCAGATGATGATGAAAACAGTGATAGCGAAATTTCGGATTATGCTGAAGAAAATGAATGTTAAAAATAATGTAAATTGCATAAAACCCAATAAAATACATTGCATTTACTGTATGCGTTCATGTAACATTTCTTATTTGCACGCCCTTAGCAGCTCCCTGTCCCCTCGCCTGTCAAGGTCTTATGCTGTTCAAAACCGCCTGGCATTGTACATATTTACTCTGAGACGTTTACTTGAAAACATATAAAAATTTTAAGTATACAGGATAAAGTTTATTTTACCTCATCAACTGTGGGTTTTCTAATTGATCTATCTACTATACTAATATATACTTCTGCTTATTGTAATCGCCTGTCAATTTTTTTTTAGAATGTACAATAAATAAACTTTATCCTATTAAATTTTCAAATTTACAGAAACAAGTTTTAAAACTCAATTTACTAAACAGTTCAAAAAATAAAGGGGCTGATGACGTGCAGGGCTGACGCCTGCCAGGTCATGGCTATTGCTCTTAGCATGCCATAAACCGTAAATAGACAAATTTCTAACCTTACAGGGAGACCGTTACTCCCAGGGTTCACTAGCTCTTCAGCTAAAATATGTTTAAACTAAAATATTATATTAAACTAGCACTGCTCGCGACTCCGTCCACGTTCCGTGTTCAGATGACCAAAAACCGAATTCTTAGTTTTTACATATTAGTATACTCTTACTTTGCAGTTTTTGTATTTTTTCTCAGAAATGAGATATTTGCCCGCTGTAAAAAGTATCCTTTATGTTGATCCGGATAACCAGCTACCATCATACCAAATTTCATCAAAATCTCGCCAGTGGTTTTTCTGTGATGCGGTAACAGACAGACAGACAAAAATTCTAAAAACTATAGATTCCGCCTCCGTATCGATAATAATGTTTATTTAAAAAAGATTTTCTAAAAATTATAATTTACAGATTCTGGTTAGTTACAATTTTATTATATGTAGGCATGGACGAATTGTAGTTAATTCGTTCATGTATGTAGGTATAGATATTGCAAAATTCAGTGACTAGTTTTTAACCTTAATAAAAAAAAGCGTCATCTGAGAATATTATGCACTATACAACGTATTGGGTTTGTCAAATCAAACAAAATAAGCTCAAACACAAAGTAGGTATCTATTATTAGTCGTTGAGTTTCACCTATCACCTGACCTTACCATCAGATCAGGTCGACGATACCGAACCACTATATTATTAACGGCAATATAAACACTTGCAAAGTTTCAAGTCAATAAAGATCATTAGAAATAGGTTAAATTTTCATTAGCTACACTTGTAAGTTGCGGGTGGTATTTCAAAATTAAATGGGACAATGGGATGGGAATCTGGAAAAGATTTATGAACACATCACGCATCTAATATTATGTGTGACCGATCACCTTTTGCATCGATAATAGCCTGTAAACGTAGAGGTACCTATATTCTACTAGATTACGTTTGGATTGCCGGGAACAGTTCGTCGAAAAAATCATTGTAGTGAATAACCCTGTAATATAATTTCACTAGTGAAATTATAATTTTACGTATCCTACAATTTCCTTGTGACATATATAACAAACATTACACAATTTGTTTTTGAGAACTTATTTATACGATGTTCTGACCGATTCCGGCCACGGCGGCCAATCTCATTGCGACTAGCCAACTGCGCAGGAGATATTATAGTGCACAAGTGTACGCGCAGACACAACGTGCACTCTCTATTTCTGTCACTCTTATTCCGGTGGCACGACACGAGACACGACCGGTGGGAGTTAAGGCGCAGGACCGACGGCTTTACGTGCTCTCCGAGGCACGGGGGTGGAACACCGCCAACTTCCCAACACCGGGCTGTTACTGAGACTTACTATACAGAAAGACTCAATAACTAAACTTGGCCCGACCCGGGACTCGAACCCAAGACCTCCGGGTGTGAAGCCGTACATGGCACATGCTAACCACTACACCACCGAGCCAGTTATTAGTATGTACTTATTTTAAGTACCTAAATGTAAAACTTCTGACAAGTACTAGAAATTCCCGTGGTTCTGCATGAACTAAAACTCGATCCACGGGTCATCTACGGGAATGCTTCCCGTCGACCCGTCGTTCTTGCGAATAGTCGCGTCCTAATTTAAAATTCAAATAAATAATATAATATAAAGAAAATAAGTTGTATTTATGGATTTAAAGAATAAGAAATCAGACATCATATTTTGTATTTTATTGGGCTAAGGTATTTCAAATAAAAAGGCATCAAATATATAATTTTCAATATGCACAGTTACATCTTTATACATGTAAATAATATAGTACATAACAAATAAATAATAAATAGTACCAAATTTAAGGATTTATCCATTAATAGAATTATTGCAGTTTGGTGTGATAATTATGTTACATAGTGATTTGACTAAGTGCCAATTTCTTAAGTGAATCTTATAGAATGAAAAGTAATTTACAGTGTCTAGTAGTATTTGTAAGTTTGTCGATAGTACAATTAATAGTTCAATAATTATATTTTGTCCGACATGGCATTGATCTTTGTTAAGTTAATGAACATAATAGTGTACCAATTTTTGAATCATCAGTTATCACCCAACTAGCTTAACATTATAAACAATATAATATGGCATAATATGAATTGATAGTTCGATTTGAATTACATTTTCTTACAGAAATTAACACCTGCAACATAAATCCTAAGCATTATTAACTTACTTAAGAGTAATTGTCAATATCAAAACATTTAGACTATAGGTTATTGCTTAATAATATATATTCCTTAGTAGCTTGTATTGAAATTACAGTATTCAGTACAAAATTGCCACATTTGTTAAAAGATAAGATCCTCGAATACGAAATTGTAAATTGTAATATTTTGTGGTTTGTCTTTTGAGCACATAATCTGTCATTATCACAAGTCTTTGAATTCCGAATGGCCAAAGCACATGATTGAATTTTGTTTCATTGAATAAAATACTGGCATGTGAATGGCGTCACAGCAGCGGGACGCCCCGCCACTACCAGTTGGCCATGCCCGGCTTGTTCAGCGTCATGAAGTATATCTGACAGGACGAACCACCTTTGGCGGATGAGAAGAATACTTTGTCATTGCGCTCACATAAAAACTTCAGCCGTTGGGCTTTTTTGTGCATAAACACGCCGTCAAGGTGCCCACTTTCGACAGAGCGTATTTCAATGGCTTTATTGCCCCATCCCATTATTTGTCCTGTTCCAATGTATGCAACAGATGTAGGCATTTCACCCCACTAAAAAATATATGGTAGAATTAACATTTTACATTGTGATAACTTAAAAGACTAGAACTAGGATTTAGGTTGTAAAAGTATGTATAAATAACTCGCAAGTTATTATATTTATTATTTAGTATATACTATAATATGTAAATTAATGCACAGTTCACTGGGAGCTCAATGCATAATTATAGTTTCTGTTCAAAATAACAATCTTAAAAAACTTATAACTCATTCCATACCTGCAACACTATATTTTTGCTGACTCTACCGTAAGTGTTAACATAGACACCTTCATTATCATAGCATAACAATAGCTGCACTCCATTGGAATTCGGCAGTGGTACAATACAATGTGGAACAATTGCTCCTTGGGTCTGTAAAAAATCATATTGTATTGGTTAAAAAGATTTTTGATCATTTGCATGATCTATCTATGACAATATTTAATAGTGACGTGTGACAATTGTAGAAAACGGATATCCCATTATTTACTATAGTCATTTGGTAGTTTTAGCTGGAAAGTTTTCTGGGAGTTTTGAAAATTGTTGATTTTATAGATTTCGACGGGCTCTTTCCGAATTTCGACTTTCTTATTTCGTATGTTTGCCGCTTGCACCGCCATATTGGAAAAACGACACCGAAAAACAGTTTACATAGTGCTGAAAGTAGACTGTTATAAGGCCTACTGAGGAACGCGTGAAATCTATAAAATGACTAATTTTCAAAATTCCCGGAAAGCTTTCTAGGTAACCTCTTTTTTGAGCACCAAATGACTGGGCTAATTGTCTATTATGTATTATTGTTTGATCGTTTGTCATTTATCGGATTACGTGAACGTGTGAACACACGAGCGAAGCGAGAATAAATCGCTAGTAAATAGCAATATATAAATGTATCAATATTGAAGTCTCATTTATAGCTTTTCGGTGGGAGCTTACTTCGTAGTGGTGTTTTAGTTTTTGAACAACAATTCGAAGTCACAAAATGGTCCTGCATATTGCATCACAAGTCAATTTTTGTAAAAAATATGTAGTCTACTTCATTTTTACACAGTATATTCTAATTTAGTAGTAGTCAGTATTTACATACGTGTGATCGAACAGTGTATTTATATCATAGAAACATTAACTTAGGTTTATTTCTTCGAGGTAAAATATTTAAAGTAAGAGCATCTATACTTACATGTTTTGGAATATAAATATCATATACACTGGCAGTATCAAGATCGACGGCATGGAAGCCATCTGCTGACCCATAGATTACTTTCAGTCTTGTTCCTTCTTCTATAGTCAAGTCAACTAATAGAGGCCTGAAATTTTAATCATTTTTATAGTACTAAAATATTTCATTTTAATGTAGGTTAAATAAAATATGTATATGTCTGTTACCTATGCTGCAAGTCTCCGAAACTTTTGAAGGCCATAAATTTGTGATATGGTTTTGGAGCCCAAGCATAAATCTCGATAGAATCTTTAAGAGCAATGACCAAAAACTTGATCCTCTCATACTTGACTATGCGAAAATGTACAGCACCCTGTAATTCTCCTACGTTTATCCATCCATTTCTTCTTTCGACTTGCTATAAAAAAATTAAAAAGAAATCATTAATTTATATCATATAAGGTGCAAAATTTTTGTAGTCAATGTGTATTGCATTTATGCTTACATCACTTAAACCATCTGTACGCAAAATCTTCGATTTCAACCAGCTCAAATAATACACTCGTACGCGATTCTTCTTCCCGGATACAGTTATAAGAATATTTTGTCCTTCTAACACTTCCATTTGTTGAAAGCGGCGTCTTGAGATCAATTGATAAACTTTTCCTTGGCCGGAACGGTCCAGCAGCATCAAACCGTTTTCAGTACCAATTAGCAGATTGACTCCTACACAAAGTAAAACATTAATGTATGGCATAGATTATTTCATATGCATAAGGTATATGTTAGAGGAAATAACAATGATGATCGTCCCACAAGATTACACGAGGGCGTGTGAAGTATAATTTAATGTAAAATCTTATTATTGTTTAAAAATTAAAATCACTATGTTAGGTTTCGTCACGTCAAATTTAAATTAAGAGTCGAGGCTATCATTACATTCGTTGGAGATAATATATAGTTTGGTTATGTTGATTGATTGTGGAGAATCATTGGAGTGTTGTGTGTTGAAGTCACATCGGTGTCGAGAACCCGTTGGTCGATTAATCTATTAGAATTATCGTTTCAAGTCTATAACATTGTGATTTCTTTTATTTGAATTCAATACTTTAATTTGTGCCCGCATTGAGTTTTGATAACGCCCAAAAGATTCATAACCACAATATAAATAAATATGATCTCGGTAGAATATTAATATCCCGATCTATATTAGTATTAATTTGACAGCCGGACGCGCAAATCCATTGCCTCCACAATTGTGTATAAAAAATATAATATACCTAGTTATGATTAAGTTACGGGACTCACCCCAAAGGGCCGCGCACAGTATCTCCGAGTTGAATCTCTTCTTGTACTTGCGTATCTCCGGCGTGTCGGAGGAGAGGTCGTGTCCGGTGGGCGTGACGTTGACGTTGACGTGGCTCTCGCGGCGCGACGCGTTGCCGGAGCCGCCGGTGCCGGTGCCGCTGCCCGCGGAGCCGGCGCCGAACCCGAACGTGAGGAACGAGCGCTGCTTCTGTTGCAAGGGGAGGAACTGTTGCTGCGACCCCACCGACGAGTTGGACGGGGAGTGCTGCAGGGGGTGCGGGGAGTGGGCGGGGAGGGGGGACGCCGCGCCTGCCACGAACGACTTCGACGGCGTCGACTGGGCCGAGGACGGGGGCGGATGGTGGTGGTGGTGGGCGGCGGGGGTGCCTCCCGCGATCGCTTGCCTATACTGGAAAAAATATATAATTACGATTGATTTACTAAACGTCACTTGTGATTGTTTTGTTTTTCTATTTATTTTTTTCGTAAATAATATCCGCACCTCAACAACTTACTATGATTAGATTTCTTTGTTAGTGAAAAGTAAAATCCATCTCCCACATATTAGTTTACATTTCAAATGATCGGAAAGTTATTTGCGTTGCTATTATCTACAATATTTAATATTGCGAAATATTTGATCGACGAAAATGTAAAGAATGCGGCAGGCAATGACTGACAGTTGGTTTTATGATACAGTTTTTTTTAATATATTGGAGGTGTACTAAAACAATTCAAATATGAAGTAATTTCACATTCATGTCTCATGTCACGAAATGATAATCATTTGATATTAATGAATGTAATTCTTGGATTAAATTAAGAAAGAAAAATCATGACCATAAAATAGTTTATAAACCTTGTATGGCTGCTTACATTCGATTTTTTTATATAAATCAATATAATATTTTTCAGTTATAACAAATAAATGCATCCTATTTGCCTATCCCTAGCAAAACTAGCTTCATGGAGCTATCTATAACAAAGTTATATAAACTAATAACAAGTGAGAAAATTCCTTTAGATTACATTTTACACAGTAGAAACTACCCATCGCACCGACCGTTGCGGTTATTAAGCTGTCTCATATTCTTCAAACTACCGTCAAGGCTTAGGACATGATACAGCGGATGAATTACACATGGAAGCTGTCTAGAGAGCATACATAGAGAAGAAGTGATTTTTATTTAAACAACATTGTATGATATGCTGTATGAAAGCATTCTCGTTGCGATATTCGTACTTACGTAGTGATAACAGCAGTCTGCAAACCGGTCGCGGACCGTAGCTCCATGGTGTTTGCATGATTGACAACCATTATCACATTAATACTATATACTAAAAGCTTGGCACCACATGTTGCGATAACGGGAGCTCCTAACAACTACGTTTTAATATTATTACATGTAAAAACAACTCGTACACTGTGATTATGATTTATGTTATTAAGCTATATTTTTGTATGTTATAGTTTTAGACATTTTGTAGACACATGGTTTTTATGAATTTAAGGTGGTTTATTCATATTATTGATTTTTAAATCAATTGATAACGTGAATTAATGGTTTTAGCAATTAAAAAAAGGAAGGGAGATTCGCAATGTTAAATTAGGAGCCCCAGGTTATAAATATATAGTGGCGAAGTAAAACAAAATTTAAACATCAAGCACAGATTTAGTGAAATGTATATTATCAGTACTAAATCGTGAAATTCAATATATAATTGCAATATATTAATACAATATGTATAGTTTGGCTTTTATGAAGTGAGCTTATGGTATTCAATAGCTATTTGAATTTAGAGGCAAAAATAGGGTATTTGATGTCTTTTATATAATAGTGTTAAATGCATTTTCAAATAATATTCCCTCAACGACCGCGGACACCCCGAGGTGTCAGTTAACAATAGAATTTCTTAGAATTTTAATTAATTTCTTAGAAATTTACCTGGAGGTGATATGAAACACTTGAAAAGTGAAACTGACCATAAACTAACGTCCTTATCTTTAATCAATCAGCAAGATAAGTCTACAATAATAATGAACCCAATATATACCTATTTAAGGAACAACATTTTATCATATTTTACTTTTATTATACTTCCTCAAAGCAAAATATTTCTCTGAATATTTTAACATCTCTCTCGATCAGACACAGCAAAATACACATCAAATACCCTATATATAAAATACGATACTATTTCAACATGGTAGGCTATACTTGGACAATGGGAGGAGTGTGTAGTGTGGAGTGTGCAGTGTGTATGACGCGTACCTCCTCGCTGGTAGACTTGTCGTGGCGCGGCGGCGTGGTGGGCTGCCCCGCCTGGCTCAGCAGGTCGGGCAGCACCGAGCTGGTGCGCGACCCGCTGCCCTCGTTGTTGCTCGACCGACCCTGGGTGGGTTTAATACTTCCTTACATTTACGCCCTTAGTTCCCAAAGTGGTCCATGTGGACCCCCAGGGGTCCACAAGAGTCTCGATGGGGGTCTAAGGGGGACAGAATCTTCACATTTTTTTGTCGTGTTTGGGAATATGGTAGAAATGTAGCTGCAAGGGGTCCACCGGAACCAGCTAAATTTTGAAAGTGGTGTATGAGAAAAAAATTCTGGGAACCTCTGATTTACGCAAATATTTGATACTACCGACTCACCCTCGCTTCCCTTCGGGTTCGTCCTACAAAAACAAACAAAACAAATCTATCCCACGGGAAGCGTACATTTTTCCAGGATGATATAAATAGCCTATAACTTTACTCAATAAACAGGCTATTTAATGCAAAAAGAATTTTTTGGATCGGATTAGTAGTTTCTGAGATTAGCGCGTTCAAACAAACATACTTTGCCTCTTTATAATATTAGTATCGATCTAAAAATATATATTTGATTTTAAGTTTAATTATATAGAATAGAAATATTAAAATATATGACATATCCTTACCGCGTGTATCGTTACACACTAAACAATTTGAAGCACCACTTGGATATTAATGTAAGCACATTTTGTTTGAACACGCCGCGTAGTTCCGAATGGAGAAGATAAATCACTCGATATTACAGCTATATTGGATAATTAATTTAGTATTTCAATAATTAATTAGATTTATTGGTGTAAATTAGCAGCATAAATATTTCTACAGATTAAAGACTTAACTTAAGGTTAGTTGGATCACACCCCCCCCCCCCCCCCACCAACGTGCGTTCACCTTGTCGTGGTGGGGGGGCTCAGTAGTGTACTCGCGAAGCCAAGAAACGCACAGGGAGGTGGCCGGCTTCGGTGGGCGGTGGGAGGCGGCCTTCTTCGGAGGGTGGTGTACCATGCGGGTTGCTCCTGGTACTTCTCTGATAGCAGAGTGGACCGTGGAGCAACCCCATGGTTGTTGTGGTCTGCTTCGGCAGACCTGCCGTCGGGGCGTCGTAGTTAAATGCGTAAGCGATCCTGCGACGCCCCATTAAGACGGGGGAAGGTTTTGTTGGGTTTTAGTGGGTAGTACTGGCTTCGCCGGTGAGTCCCACACTTCGTGCGTAAATGCATTTCCCAACGTTAAAAAAAAAAAGGTTAGTTGGATCACGTCGTACATCATGTAGCAAATTTGTAATTGCGAAATATTTAAGATTACGTAATCGACTCCATAAAAATACATAATTATTTTGTTAAATAAAAAAAAAATTGGTGAATCCCATGTTATACTCACATGTAGATCCGACGCCGCGACAGCGACTGACATACACGATATATGTACATATATATATGTAAAGTTTTTTATGTAAATAGTAAATACCAATAGAAACATGACTATAATAATAATAAAATGACAAACGAGACGAATGTCCACGCGGTGTGACGGCGTCGGGTGCGCTGTTATTGGTTTACGTTGCGGCAGGTGGCATAGCGTGACAAACACAAACACGGCATAAGACATGCATGGTACAACACATTCACAAGTAGATGTCGAACGTTCTCGGCAGCTCCGGTGAGTCGTTACTCGTTAGGCGGTCATTCCCAGTTTTGTTAAGTTTTAACAGTTTTGGCACAATCTAGATTCGTCGCTGAGGGCTTTGCATTTCGCGGCAGGAAGACGGTATTCGCGCAGATAAATGTGTTAGTAGGAATATATGTTATGATGAGAGTTAAGGTTATTGAGAAACTAACTACTTTCTACTTACGGTTAATGATATGTTTAATGACTGAATCATTCATTACTAGAAATGCTTAATTTTATCCCATAAAAAAATAAAAATTCATAGTAAATATTTGTCACGCCAAAACGTAAGACGTGTGAGCATGTATATTGGTACTACAATAGAGTAATTCACTAGTAAGCTATATCATAAAACACTCTAAACATTAGTTAAATAAAACACGGCATAAATACGATCAGTTCAACCAATCCCACAATATTACGTTCACCGCAGCCCACACCAATAGCTACAAAATCACTTAAAGACTTCAAGAATACAATACAGCATCGCCAGGGTTAGTTCAATACAACTATGTTAGACAATCATAATTAGAGCCCTCATACCAAATGTGAGTAAAAAGATATTAATCAAACTATCCCGAGCAGAGAGGAATTACCTGGTCCTGCGCGATTACCGCTTCCTGCCCGCTCGGTATAAGGTCACTGTGCCGGTTATATTGGGAGTTTCTTCGGAATACGATATCGGACTCGGTCTTTTCCCGGCGCGGCCTCGCGGCCAGGTCGGGGCTGTGCCCGCTGTCCTCGCTGCCCTGGCGTATGAGCACGGCGACGTTTTTCAAAGCGTCGATTGGATTGTTTGCGGCTACTTTTTTTTCGACATTTTTTTTCTCGCCGTTTCGTTGCGCCTTTTTTAAGCTGTCATTCATTTTGATGAAGTCAGTTAAGATCGGTTCGCCTGACGTCTGAGGTTTGGTCGTCTGTTTACGTGAGTGATTAAATATTCCGCTGGACCTTAGCTGTTTGTTGGCACCGATTTGGTTATCATGTTTGGGATAGTAGATGGCGGAGTGCCGAGTGCTGGTGAGCGGGAATAGATCAGAGTTCTCTCGACGGAACCCTCTAAAGAACCTGTTCGGGCCGTTTGATTCCGTGTCTTGCTCCTTCTTATATTTGAGTATATCAGACAGTTTTTCCTGTGTAGACTTTTCTGTCGGTTTCTGGAACAACTGTTTGTGCCGCAAGGGCGGCGTGGCGATGGCTTTATACTTGGCCCACGCATCCTCCATTTCAATTCTCGACTGACGTTGGAGTTGCGCGCGTCTTTGTTCTGCCTCTTTTGTGGTGTCCTGCTTTTCTTCTTTGGCCTCAGCATTTTTCGATGGGAAAAATCTGGCAAAGTCCCAGTCTTTAAGTAGGACGGCTTCATCGATGTCCGATTGTCTTTTATCTTTTTCGGCCTCCCTCTGATATTTTTCAAATATGTTTAGTATAATAAAAAATATGCATGTGAATGAGGAACATAATATGTAGTATTTAAATTACAATAAATAGAAATTTGCTAGAATTTAGTCGCTCACTAATCTTACTTTGGCGTGATATCTAAAATTTTGTCTAGGATATATTTGACATCATCATCCCTATTTTAATATAGACTAAGCAATAAAACTTAAAATCTATGCTTTAGCGCAAGAATATTCTGTATTCAGAATAAGATTTTATTGATTAGTCCACAATATTGAAAAAGAAAAAGGTTTGTATATAATATTACTCGTATTTCAATAGCTTTAGCAAAACAAGTTTAGTTATACCATTTTCTTTTTCAATTCGGTTTATTGCAATCTAAAAGCAAACAGTTAACACAACACACCAGATTAAATATATAACACACAAATATAAACGTGAGACAATTTTAATTCTACACGGATTGCACACATTACTAAATTGGCGAGAATATGGATATTATAACGGAAACCGGTATTGACCAATCAGACTACTATTACCGTACTATATATACTATGCGACGGTCCGAAACAAATGACTGAGTAAACCAGTCTGTATGTATAATAATTTGACCCTACATAGAAACATTAAACGGGATAAGATGTCGAAAATGTCGAGAACCTGTGAGTGTGTGTATAAAGGACTAATAATATATGATAGTTTACTATGTTATGTTATGACGGTTCGAAACTAATGATCGAGTAAACCAATCAGTGAACAGGTCCATAATTGATAATGTATTATATGTATTGTGTATGGGGCATTCTACGCCAAATCAAACAGTTCCAAAAAAAATTCAATTTTTTTTCAAAATGTTTGTTTTTGGATGACCTTCACCCAAAAAGTGTTTTTAATAGAGATTTTTGAATTTTAAGTTTTCAATCGTGTTTTTAAAACTTTTCTTTTTTAAACTTCTATCCATCATGCAGCTTTTAAGCCCAGACCGGCATGGGCCTTCTATACTTACAATTTTTTTTTATTTTTAAGAATTAAAATTTCTATTTCATTTTTAAAATTCGAAAACAAAATTGTGATCAAAAAAATAGAATCAACCAGTGATCAAAAAATTTCAAAATTTACCAGAAAGCTTCTTTTGAGGAGTAAAAAATAGTAAAATATTAAGAAAAAATTTTTTTTTGAAACCATCCGATTTGGCGTGGAATGCCCCATAAAAGGGCCATGCAAAGGAGGTTCGCTCACCCGCTTGACGAGCGTGCGGTCGGCGAGCGGGTCGTCGTCGTCGGGCGTGGGCGGCAGCGGGCGCGTGGGCGCGCCGCCGCCGCCGTCCTCCGCCACCGCGCTCAGCCCTGGCCTATAGCAAAACTCGGGACTGACAAGCCAGAACGCAAAACAAACAAACAAAACAACCAAATAATGGGTAAACGAAAATAAAATGCAAATTAAATTAAAAGAAAAAAAATGTCATTAGTAAATAGAGTATTATTTACTTTTTGCTATGGAAAAAATTAAGTTTGTGCCACTTCTATGATAGAGGGCATCGATTAATTATTTATTTCTCAAGCTACTATTTATATCAAACATATTGATCAGTTGTCTAGTCATTAGCATGTCTGTAACTCAATTATTGCACTTAATATGGCACTATTATGAAAAATATGCTTTTTTAAGTCAATTATGCTAATAAGACACTTTTTATTTTCATGTAATATGATTGTTGCATTTATGAAAGTAATATTGCTTTTTAAGTCTACTTTCGTTTATTGCTAGGCTTCTCATATAGCATAACACTGACCTGAATACTCAACTCTACGCATTCAGCACTTGCCAGTCACTATACATACATCATTGCTCCAACTAGCTGGAGTGAATCCTACAATACGTAAACCGTGTCACGGTCACTTTAGAATCCGTTTACTCAATCAATTGTCATCATTCAAGCAATAACATACAGCTCTATGCATTTAACAAGAACCAGCCACTATACATTCACCGTCGTTCTACCTAGTTGTTGGCAGCCCTACACTACATTTGCTAAGTCCTAGTCTCCAGACTAGACCAACCCGTCAACCGTTTACTTAATCGGCCGTCATCATGCATACAATAATATGTTATTTATAAGTATTACGCATCCAAAAACTATCAGCAACTGTACATACATCATCGTTCCACCTAGGTGGAGGGCGTCATACACCACTTTTGCCGAGTCCTAGTCTTCAGTTTAAACCCATCCGTCAAACGATTACTCAATCGGCCATCGTCATTCAGACAATAACATACAGCTCTACACATCCATCATAGTTGGAGGGCGCCCTACACTACATTTGCCAAGTCCTAGTCTCCACTCTAGCTAGACTCGTCAACCGTTTACTCAATAGTCCCTCGTCACGCTGGCAATAACACAACACATATTGTATTACTAGCGACTCAGGGTTCATCTCTAGGCATGTTTTAATTTTTTTGAGCGGAACCCTAATTCTTTTTCTAAAATAAAAATAGCCTACGTTACTCCATATAACATCAGCTATCTTCCAGTCAAAGTCCCATCAAAATCAGTCCAGCTGTTTCAGAGATTATCCGGAACAAACAGACAGACAGACGAAAATTAAAAAAAATATGTTTTTCTTGTAGGTACCATATATAATTTCAAATGCATTTAGTTAGACGCTGTTATTTTAACATTACAAACAGATATTGAACTATATTTATCTGTATAGATATCAATAGTATCAGTCCGGCACTCACAGCGGCTTGGGCGGGTCGCTGGCGAGCAGCGTGCCATCGTTGCGCACGCGGCCGCCGCTCTCCTCCGCCTCGCTGTCGCTGTCCGACTCCTCGAACGTGGGCTCCGGCGCCGCCACCGGACCTGGAAACAGTTCTTAATGTTTTCTTTCACTTGTCTATATAACTCAAGACATCAACGACTACATTCCATAACATATATTCCTTAATAGTCATCATATACAACTAATATAATATAACTAATCCGACAATCTTGTTCTTTCCAAGTGAATTAATAAACTTATTTGCGATCTTGAGGTCATACAAAAATGCCCTTTTGGTTTCTCCCGAATTTTCCGGGCTAATTTAAAAAAAAAATACTCTATATAAACCTTATTCAAACTGTGCAGTATTTCATGTTTATTACATATACATAAAATTTACCCTGGCCGTTGGTTGGTGCTCGCGGCGGCCGATTAGGAGGTTCATTGCCGGACACTACACCAAGCTCGTTGAGTTGTGCCGCTAACTTGTCCAAATCCTGAAAATCACAACATATCAAGTCTATATTTTGCTTCATACTAAAATAAAAAAAAACTATCTAATAATGTAAATCATTCAACAAAATTATAAAAAAAATATTTGAAGCGCCATCACATATCTACCTACCTCTGGCCTTCGCGGTGGAAGCTGCACTCATTATATCGGATGTGCAAAGAAAAACAGCGTGACATGAAAACAAAAACACAAGCCAATAAAATAAAATATCATATTTACAATATTAACTAAGGCACAACTGCATGCATTCAAAATTTATCAATAATTGGATACCATTCCTTTTCTAAAATATGATTTTATTAAAGGCCTCATATAAGCTTTTTCTGTTTTTAATAAAAATCATCTAAAAAAATCATGTCGAGTCAATAATAAATTGCTGTTTGGCAAATATTTAAGCATTTTTTAAACTAAGTAATAGAAACATTTTGACAAAAGACTAAAGAGGATACAGGCATTTCAGTGCAACACACATAAGGTATAGTACCTTGATGTTTGTTAATCAATACAATAAATTTTATGACAAATATGATATAAGTCCATACATTAACTTAAAATTAACGTAATTTGGATTGACCTGCTATATACAAATAAAACTACATTAGAACACTAAGTTTGAAATTAAAATGAAATTAATTAAAGAACAATTTCAATAGTATACAGAAAAACAATAGCTACAATAATACTGTAAAAATTATGAAATGTTTTGTAGATATAATCGCCCATCTCCATACAAAAGTATAGAATGTGTGACAAATCTCATCGCCCGTCTCCGTACTACAATTTAAAAGTATATCTGATCAAATATGTAATTAGAAGCAAAACGTACCATTGGTTTAAAGATGTGATGTGAGCCGCGCTGCGGGGGCTGCGGGCCGCCGGCCGGCGGGGTGCCGTTGTTGGAGCCCGAGCTGTTGGACGAGCCCGACGATTTGGGCGTCGGGGGCAATGGCCTGCATTGTTTACAATTTTATTATACACCTAATATCTTAATATATATAATTCTTCTGTACGTGTGTTTGTCACCTTACTCCTCCCAAGGCGCTGGACCGATTTGGATGAAATTTTATGTGTATAATTCAATGGGCTCCTGGATGGTTTGAAAACATAATGGGACCCGGTAGGTGGCGCTGCTGTCGGTATATCAAATAGTTTGTTTTTTAGTAGTTTAAACGCGGGCGAATCCGCGGGTACTGCTAGTCAAATATAAAAAATAATTATTTATATTAGTATCACCGTTGCCAGATATATTTTAGAATAAACAGGATTTTGAGTATAGAAAGCTGGCCATACTAAAAAAACATAATATATAATAAGTAGTTTTTAAATACTTAACCTTTTATTTGAGTTTCAAATTAAGGTTGCATGACAATAAATAAATATGTTGAGACATTAACACACAGCACCATCTAGTTCCATGGTAAGCTACAAGGCTTGTGTTATGGATACCAGAAGGAATATCAATATAAATCACAATATAATTATATTCCTCTCAAGAATCTGAATATAATTAAGAATTACTAATAAACTTATTCATATTTCTGTGAAGGTTTAACTTATTTTAATATAGATGAAATACCCTATACAGGGTAGCTCTAGATTGACTTGGATAAAAAAAAATTGCTTTCGCTAAATTTACGGAACATTTATTAAGTCATGTCGTCAAGCATTTATTAAGTCAAGTCGTCAAGTAATTCCCGAAAAGCGAGACTGAGCTTGTCCCGAAAATCGGGATGTCCCGCCAAAATCGCGAAGTCTGGTAACGTTGATTAATATACATATTATATTGTATCGGTTGGCATTCATGTTAAGCATACATTATTTAAAATATTACTTGAATGTAATGAGATAAAATAATGGTAATCAATTTTATTTTATAGTAAGCTACGAAAGTTATAATTACCTATATCTATTTGGCTGTTGTGCCTGTGGATCGGGCACTACTATCAGTCTTTGTGGAATGGATGGCCGCGCTGGCGGGCCAGGTTCTATTGTTACAGAACAAAACAGTAAATTAACATACATTAATAGAAATAATTAAATTTTATCATATGTTTTTTTGGCATTATTGAGAAAATTCAGTTGGATTTTGTTCACATTTTAAATCAATAAATTGTTTATTATGTGCACATTATAGTAAATATAAATATTAAGAAAAACAGAAGCAAATGTTTAAGATAGTAGCCACAAGAAAATATAGTTTTTGTGTCTGTACATTTGCACAAGTATTGCTTAAAAGTATCTTGATAAACTTTTTTTTTGATGTACTGTTCTCAATCAAACTTAACTAAAGATGTAACTTGAGCTTCTTCTATTATTCAAATATTTTGAGTTTGTACACAAAATGAAGACTTGCCTGGTGTTATAATAATATTATTGTTTATTATTCTTTATTATTATTAAAATAAAACTACATGATAGCTTAAGAACACATATTAATATCTGACATCATTTTTTATTACATATTTTTTCTCCATGTTTGTATGAACCAGAATTTTTTTATATATGTTTTATTTATAACATCTATTTTAAAATAAAGGAACACACCTGGCTTGGAGTTACGTAAAATTATTTACAAAATAGTAGTAATATCAAGTAATAGAATGTATGTACCTTGACTGACTGATACTTTCATCATAAGAAAAGAAACAGGTTTGACTATGTTAATGTATCTCTTACCTGGTATTTCCTCGCGCTCCTCCCGCTTGCTGTTACGTTTAGGTGGCGGTTGAGGCTGTTGTGCTTCAGCCCTGAAATGAGTTGAGTCATTAGTATATATAGTTATAATTTAAATGAATTTGGTATATAGGCAGTGGTAACCCAATGGTAAAGCGCTCGCCTGGGAAACCGAGTGAAGCGGGTTCAAATCCCCGGTCTCTCACCTCTGATATGCGCATCATTTCTAACATGATCACCACTTGCCTTACGGAAAGGAAAACGTCGTGAGGAAACCTGCATGTCTGAGAGAACTTAGCCAGTTTTCGAAAGACATGCGAAGTCCGCCAACCTGTACTTGGCCAGCGTGGTGAACTATGGCTTGATCCCCCTCGTACTGAAGAGACAAGGGAGTAGTGGGACGTTAAAAAGGGCTGAATACATATAGCAATAAGGATGATTAAGAATATTTAAAATAATAGGTAATCCTCATGACCAGAAGTACAGTGGCGAAAGGTAAAATTTTAGTAGAGATAAGCCATTTCAAAAAAAAAGAACACAATTTTTATATATAAAGCTAAAGATATATATATATATAATTTCCAAAGAACATTTATACATTTAAAATTAAAAGTATATAAAATTATAGAGAAATACATTTTAAGGTTAGATGTCTTGTATGGACCCTTCGCCACTGCAAAAGTGTATATTATTTTTACTGGAATGTTGCAATTGTACCTTCCTTCCTGTATCTGCTGGAAGTTCCTGCGCAGCGTGTCGCCGCCCTGGTGCGCGGCCGCGTTGTGCACGATGGACGAGGGCTCGCCCGCCACCGCGTTGTCCTCCTCCTCGCCCTCCGACCCCGAGTACTTGTAGTCCTCGCGCACAGAGTTGTCCTGCTTTCTCTTTTTGCATCTGTCTATGTGATCCTTCAATTGTATCCTCACTTGTCTCTCTGTTGGTTGATCTCTGAAAATGTTTTGTGTTTGTACATGTTTAGCTTTCACTTTGCCGATAGGTAGCTCTTTGTGTTATTAAAAGTGAATGACATGGTAAGAAAACATGGTTTATTTGTCACATAAATTTCTTTATTTATGTGACAATTATATTTAAGATTGTAATATGACAAGTAATTGTATTATTAAATTATTAATAACTAGCAGAACCCGCGGCTCCGCTTCTGCTAAAACTACAAAAGAAATCTCTAAAAAGGTAGTTTCATACAAACTTTCATCTCCTATTTTATCCCCTGTGTGAATGAATTTCGACAAATACTTAAAACATGTATTTATTTAATTTTATTAAAGAACAATAATACAAAGTTTTCAGTAATTGTGATCATAAATATTTGTTTCGATTGTGTTATAACGTGTTTTCCCGTGGGAATTAAATAATTTCCCGCGGTAAAAAGTAGCCTATGTCACTCTCCAGCCCTCCAACTATCTACAAACAAAAAATAACGGCAATCCGTCACTCCATTGCGACGTGAAAGAAAGGCAAACAAAAAAACACACTTTCACATTTATATTAGTGTGGATTGTATTATTATTATTATTGACACTTAATGTATACCTAGCTATAGTTAATTCATTTATAAAACATCACTATTAAATAAATTAGTACTTTTACTGTCAGGAATGATTGATATTCATTTTATATATCAGTATTGTTATTAACATAGATAACGATTGAAGTGATCTGGCTATTAGATAACCTACATTTTACATTTGCAATCAAAATAATGCGATTTTAAGTTATTATTATATTTTATAATATTATTTGTAAATTAACATCAAACTGAAAAAACGAATTAAATTGTCCTATAAAACTATATCAATATAAACTTTGGATACACTACTTACCTAATAAATGGATGTTTCAAAAGCTGTTCAGTGTAAGGACGCTGATGATAATCTTTTACAAGAACAGTCTCAATGAAACCATGGAATTTTTTCGCCCACTTTTTAGATTTTAAACGTGGCGGCGGGTTTCTGAAAAAAAAGTAAAGAAATAATCATACAGCAGTTGAAAGTATTATATTTGAAAAATGAATAGCAAACAATGCACATGTGAATTTACATAAATATTATTGTGTTAGTGCAAAACATACAAATGACAAACCTATAACTGGCAAAAAAGTTTACCTTAAACAGGAATCTAATGTAATCTTGGTTGCAATGACCAATGGCAGGCACAATGACCACTGCACCAGACAATAAACAAAATAAAATATCCTAATAAAAATGAAAAAGAATATTACATTCCTAGTAAGATATCTTCGGATGAAATAATAATAAATATAATGAGAACCTTACCTCGGAATGAGGAAGAGAGCTCTCATAGGGTGGAGATCACACAGAGGTGGTTGACTCTCGGCCATCTCCAGCGCGGTGATACCGAGCGACCAGAGGTCAGAGCGATTATCGTACGTCGCCTCGGGGTTCTCGTCGCACGCGATCACCTCCGGCGCCATCCAGTACGGGGTGCCGATGAATGTATTACGTCTGCCGATCGTCCTGTCCAACTGCGCTGATACTCCAAAATCGACTGCATAAAAGCATTCATTTAAGAATTTTTAATGGTATGTAGGTGGTACAAAAGTAAATCACACTAACTGTTTGCAGCTAAATATTAATTCATGTTTGTAACAAAAAAAAATTTTTTTTTAGTTAAGTCTTGTGTATTGCGTCCATTGAATTGATATAAATATATTAGTAAATCATTTTTATTTGTATATGGATGTGACAAACTACTAAATATTTGTTATCTATACTGATATTATAAAGAGGTAAAGTTTGTGAATTGTAAGTTTGTGACGTTGTAGGGGGTAATCTCTGGATCTACTGAACTGATTTAGATGAAATTTGGTAAGAAGATAGTTTGAGACCCAGGGAAGGACATAGGACACAGTTTTTATCCCAGAAATCATCCCTTAAGGGGGTGAAAATGGGGATGAAAGTTTGTATGGGGAACCAACCTAGGGACAAACCCGATCGAAGCAAGGGTGAGTCTCTAGTTGTTAAATAAACTGTGAAAGACAATTATAGTGTCTATTAACTATAACATATAACACGTCTTAGGAAGTCTGATCATGAAGACATTTTGGAATGATGTACTGTGTAACATGTAATTTAATTATCTCAAATACACATTCTAGTAGTAAGTACTATTGGTAGAAAAATTAAACTTATAACAGTAACGTAGTTGTAAGAATACTGTTTATTGCATAATATCTCTTAATTAGCACCAATGTTCACATTGTACAAAAATAGTAAGTAGAGCATATATTGCACAGCATAGTGTTCATAGTTTATAGTGCTCTACAATATTTTTGTAGAATTGTAGTATAAACTTTTGTTTCTTTTATTTTTTAATGTTTAAATCCCCTAAATAATCCAAAAAGATAGTTCTATTTAAAATGTTTAAATTGTTAAATTCAAATATTATTTAAAAAACTAAACTTGGCTTATTTTTTATATTTACTATTATTTTATATGAAATGATATTAAACTTCATTCAATTATACTTATACAAGAACTTTTGAATCATCATTTTAATTTTAAAAGAGTGTAGTCAGTCTGTGAGGAAGCTACCAACGGCTCTAAAGCTGTTCTGCTGAGAAGATATATTGTTTCACTAGTATTGGCATAATAATATAAGATAACAATTTACATTTGTAGTGTTAACAAAATAATTAACTTTTGATAGATAAAAAACACTGTCATGTATTTTGTAACAGTTCAAGTAATATGGAGGATTTGGTATCATCAAATATTGTTCATATAATCTAATGTATAAGCATTAAAACAATTGTTTCACAATATACTCTGCTTTAAATTTCATGCTACATTATAATGAAATATATCAAGTTTTATATAGTAATAGTCACTTACAATAAAAAATTAATTATATAGCAAGATAATGCTTAAATTAAAGAAAACCACCTATAGAAAAACTATGACCATGACGTTCAAGCTGTACATTAACCTAAATGATGCAAAGGTCTTTTTATATTCAAAAACATAAATTTCAATGCATAGACTTCAAATTCTTTCAATTTATGTGAATGTAAAACTCCGTACAAAGTTGAAGTAGATATGATGATGTCCTCCTGACCGATATTGGGCACGGCGGCCAATCTCTTTGACACTAGCCATCTGCGTAGGAGATATTATAGTGCACAAATATGCGCGCAACCACAGGTTCAGTCTCTATTACTGTCAATATTTTATACTCCGGTGGAACGACTACTCGGCACGACCAGTCAGGGGTAAGGCGCATGAAAAGGACTTTACGTGTTCTCTAAGGCACGGAGGTGTTACTGGGACTTCCTTAATGGGCAGACTCAATAACTAAACTTGGCCCGACCCAGGACTCAAATCCAAAGACCTCCAGATTTGCAGCCTTAGAGGCAATTAGTTATTTAGTTGAAGAAGATATAAGAATATGATCTTTATACAATTCATTTATTTCTCAGAAATATAAACAGGACAATAATCATGAATCATCAAAAATTAATTTGACGTAACCGAGTGTAAATTTATAAATGTATAAATTATAATGAAAGTTATCCCCATTTAATCAACTACTGTTTAAAACAGCCATACTCAACCTATTTTTTATAGGGGCCACAAACACGTTTCAGTCATGGTTTGTTTTCCCTCATTTCTTTAAACAGAACTTCTAGATTGGTATCGTTTTCAAAATTGATAAACTCATCAAACAACTCTGAGTAATTACAATTTAAAACAGATGAAAACTCTGAGATGTAGGTAACTTCAGATGGGCCAATAAGAAAGGCCTGGCGGGCCGCAGGTCGGGTATAGCTGGTTTTAAACATTCTTTGATAATATTATTATCATGAATGAATTTAATAACTAAAGAAAACATATAGAAGCAAAAACTTCATAAAATTATTTTTAATTGCAGATAGATGTGCTTACCAAGTTTTACTTCGGCATTGTCTGTGAGTAGCACATTCTGTCCTTTTATATCACGGTGTATAACCTTGTTAGAGTGCAAATAACTGAGACCTCTTAGAATTTCTCTGCAAATGTATGAGATCCATTCTTCTTTTAACGATTGCCCTTTAGTTGATTTTACCAAATCTGTCACAGAACCTAAAAAGATTATGGATTGTCATATAATGAATTTAAATGTTAACACCCAGGCACACTCGGTGTGAATGAAAAATATGTACATTCTTTCTATATTTCAACAATTATGTACTATTACTACATGAGAGTTAAAATAGTGAACAATTAAGCACCTACCAGTAAATAATAGTTAAATAATAAAAAAAAATGACTGACAAATTTTCAATATTCTTATATTAATTACAAAAATTGCAAATCAATTTAAATTAAATTCTTAAATTATATGAAAAAGATTATCATAAAGTAATGGAATAAATTTGTCATGTTAGAGGAGAACTATTGTTCACTATGTGTCACTCAGACCTCTTGTCTCAGTTAGAGGTCATTAACCTGGTGCTATAATTAAAAGCAATAAAAAATGATCTCTCCCTTTATGCGCATTATCCTAAAAGCTTTGTAATTGTCTGTTTCTCAATTATCATTCAGCTTTATGTAGGTTTATACAAATTAAAACATAATTAAGAAATGATAAATTGTATTCATGTAAAATATTTTTACACAAAATTAACAGATTGCACATAATGATTTTACGATAGGGTTTCAAATAACATAGTTGCTATAATGTACATTTTTAACATATTAAATCTATTAGGGTTTCACAATACTTACCAGCACCACAATATTCCATTACTAACCAAAGCTGATCATCTTTTCCAGGTGGGCTCTTTTTAATAAAAGCACCATAGTATGTGGCAATATTACGATGATTAGAATACTTTTTAAGGACATTAATTTCAAGTTTTATCTCTTCTTCCTCATCCTGTGTAACATCCATAACTTTGATGGCAGCAAGTTGTCCTGTTTTTGTGTGGCGTCCCTTTAATAGTAAAATATATAGTATTTAAAGAATGCAAGTATTGCCTGTTTTAGATATAGCATTTCTTTAGTACTATATGGCTATTCTCATTCATTATACAAATAATTATTAAGAGTTTAACTTACATAGTTTAGAAATTCTAAGTAAAATATAAATCAAAAAGTGATAATAACCAATTCTTAATATTCCAATATGTGTATTTCCTAATAGATTAAAGAAATAAAATGATAAAGAGAAACAAATATATTCATGGACCTTACAAAACCTTCTTGAACTGCTCAAGTTATTTTTATTTTCACTTAAGATATAATTCTTGAACAGTATACTGACAAGTTGTATTTGCAGTGATTCTCATCCGAATTTTGAATGAAATTGAGATACGAAGAACTGTGTAAATAAGAGCAATATGCCGATGAACATACTGATATTTAAGTAATAAAAGTATAATTATATGTATACCTTGTATACTTGTCCATAGGTGCCATTGCCTACAACTTCTATAAGTTCAAATATTCCAGCCGGGTCCTGAAATCAAGTACATAACAAAAATGTATAGATAAAAGCTAATTATAATCCTTATTGAACCCAAACTATGATTCACGCCCTGTGAGATCATTGCTCTCCGACTCAGCTTTTTTTTAATTTGAGCTAGTTATCCAAAATTTATTTGAACTAATTTTTACATTTGTTGAAGAACAAAAATATACCTTTAATGAACTGAGGTCAATGTCGTCCAATGAACAATTTACAGACGGTGCCAGTTGATGCGCCATTTTGAGTATATTGTCACACACGAAGACAAAGCACGAGAACCTCACATCAATATAAAAAGTAAATAAGAATCCCTAAATTACAATATTTGCATAGATATTAGTAGAATTTTATTTTTTCAAGTACGTATGATTTATAAAACACATTGTTTACAATTAAAATTACAGTAAATTACAGATACACAATTTATATGCCGCACACACACCCGGCAGGGATGCCAGTTGATGAAACTACGTTCTACCATTTTTATTAAAACGTCTAATATAGAGTATAAAAAGTGTAAAATGATAGACAAAATATTTTTGTGCGTTTCATATATATATATATATATATATATATATATATATATATATATATAAAATAAAAAGACATACATGTTTTATATTAAATGCGAGTCTTGCTACGTGTACGTATGTCTCCGACTCCTTAATACTATATGTTTCTTCATAATTTCGTCTCCATCTTTTTAGCTTGCTTTTTAGGCAGTCGGGTTTTTTATTTTTGAAAATTAAGCCTTTATTTACAGCTTTTTAGTTTCGGTCAGTGACACATTTTTAGTTATAATTAACAATTTCTTATCTTAAATTATTTATAAACATATAAGTTGGATATATTTTTGTAATTGTCTCTTTCAAACAATTTTTTTTAAATAAAAAATTGGCGCCTAAGATACCCCATTTTGTATTTTTTATTACATTTGTTTACACTAAAACTATTGAAAAAATCTCTAAAAGAGTATATAGGTTTCATACAAACTTTTATCACCTATTTTACCCTCTTATGGTATGAATTTCGAAAAATGCTAAAACACGTACCTATTTATTTAATTGTATTGAAGAGCATTAATATCAAGTTTCAAGTAATTCTGATCATAAATATTTTTTGGGTTGTATTAAAACGTGTTTTCCCGCGGGAATGAGATTATTTCCCACGGTAAAATATAGCCTATGTCACTCTCCAGCCCTCCAACTATCTCCACACAAAAAATCATGTCAATCCGTCACTCCGTTTCGACGTGGAAGAAAGACAAACAAACACATTTATAATATTAGTATGGATAATTTAGTTAAACCATAGCGTTCGATCCGGTCGTTTGTAGTGAACAACGGATTCTCTTAGACTAGAGCCAATTTGTCGCTGTTCTTAATCTGATGGTCTGTTGCATCAATGTGCGCAAATACATGAGAAATTTATTTCTATGTTTTATTTATTTTCATTAGATTGTAGACAGTTTGAGTAGTGTGTATCTTTGCAAGTGTTGATAATTGATTTTATTATTTATTGAATACATAGTTTTATTAAACCAAACAACTTCCTAGACTATATTCGCTTTGATAGACCACAAATCCTTGCGAAAGAGAACTGTTATCGCCCTAGGATTATTCGCGAAGCTATTATTTATTATATTAATTAAAAAATCGAAATTTCAATAGGGAAGATGGCTGGGTAATACTATTGTCGTGGAATCCTGTAATTAACATAATAAAATCTAATAACAAAACTTAACATAACAGATGAATACATTGTAACAGAAGATGCGCGAATATTTAGAACATTGAGAGTGGCACAGCATTCAATAATGCCTGAAAGTCTTTACCAAATAGTAATAATTAGTAATATTTTCGAAGATTTTACAAAACTACTAGATACTAGAATTACTCAAAAGTAACGTCAACGTGAAGCCACATATTCTCACTTGTAATGAAACAACTCGGCATTCATGAATATTTTGTCCAATTTTATCTTTATATCTTCTCTATTTATTCCAATTTTTTATTCTATAATCGTAGTGCAGATATTGCAGCTTTAAGGATGATTTTTGGATCCTGAGCATATGCAGGTTATTTATTTGTTCACAAACATTGAATTTGAGCGACTTAAAATCAACTCAAGTTTTAGAAAAAAAGTTTTTAGAAGGTTGTGCACCGTTTTACAATTTAAGCGCTTATCATTTAGTGAAATTGACAAAATCTCATGCATCTACAATTTATCTGAATGCGCTCAGAAAAATTATAATGCAACTAAGATTATACAGTGATATTAAAAGAAATAGAGACGATTGATAAAAGTCTATGCAATAATAATATTACTTGTGAAATTAGAATATCATGGCTTTTATAATAACCCTGTGGCATACATATATGTATGCCTTTGTTTTGGCAATCTATAAGTAAATTTAAATAGAAGCCAAAAGTTATAAGAGGTAAAAAAGCTCACAAAAAACGGTCTTTGTAAAAGCCTTGTTTCATTTGTTTAAAATGAGATTTGAGGTCATTAGAAAAAATGTAGAGCATCAACAAAATCACCTATTTTTTTACCAGACCATTTGTTTTTATAGACATGTGGAATTCTAATAAGTTTACTGTATATCGTATAGGGAAGAAAGGACTTCTATGTATGTCAAAATTCTAACAATATGCATGTGATTTCAACGTAACTTGTTAAAAGGAGAAGTTTAATTACTACTAGCGACTCACTCTCGCTCCGCTCGGGTTCGTCCCTAGGTGATTCTCTAAATTGACGTAACTTTTTTATTTATAAACCTATTGAAATAAAACTTACTGAATGTTAAGTGAATCTTACCACAATATATTAGTGAAAACTGCATCCAAATCAGTTAAGCCGTTTCTGAGATTAGCGCGCACAAACGCACAGACAGACAAACAGACAGAAAAATTTTAAAAATCATTGTTTTGCATAAAAAAACCCCAATGATAGTTTTTCTCGAAAATCTTTCAAGTACAGACAGCGATTAGTTACACTTTTATTAATGTATAGATTGAACAGAGAAATTAAAGATTTATTTCAGCACAGATTGATAATAATTATAGTTGATAGAACTTTCCTTAAATATTATCTTTTCTTACTTTTAGTTCTTTTAATGTTACCTAATAGAAATAAGTATTTATAGATCTATCTAAATAATGATCTAAGAAAAGTCTTATGAAGTTTCCATGTTTTATTTCCTAATAGTGGTCGGTTGGTGGTCGCAGGAGATTTTATATTATATATTTTTTGTAATTACTTTTAATTTAAGGGAAACCAAATGGGCAGAAATATTTTTTCATGAATAACTTCTTTTGAACGCAATTTAGATAAAGAAATCTCGTAGATTATCTAATTTTTAGACGAACTACAAACTCTGTGGCGGAGGCTAAGGCCTATGGAAAGAGTCTGACGATAATAAACATAAATTTTTGAAAATATTTGCATATATACATATCTAAAAACTGACCATTCTACTTAAACGTAATTTAAAATGTACCTGTCAACCAGCATATACCTACGCGTTCTAACAAATAGCAACTAAAAGTTCAATGTTCAAATTTTCCTTTGAATAACTATTTACTATACAAAAATAAAAATAAAACGATCATGAAAATTTTTAATATATTACACATACTTTACTTTTATGTCAGCACAGGGTCTGAAAGTGTCTTTTTTGACCGACTTAAAAAGGAGGTATCTAAAAGAACGAATTTATAGTTATTTTAGATAACGATCAACGAACAGTTAATTAGTTTTAATTAAGGAATAGATAAAAATGAAATTTTCAATAAAAAAATCCAAAACTCTCAAAGCATAATTCTAAAAGAAAAATATTATTTGTTTTTAGGTTACCAAGTTTATTTTTGCAGTAGTGACAAGTTAATCGTCTAAATAAGCCTTAACTTTGAAGGCGTAAGTCAAGTTTGCATTTATGATAAAATAATTAACAAGAAAATTAATTAAGTTAACCTACCGTAGAGATTGTTGGTAGTAGTATATGGATGGACTGCATGGTTCTTGGATTAGTCGAAGTTCTAATGAACTATTGGCGTGTTCAGGAACTTAGTGATAAAATTACACTGCAAATGTTTGAATAGCGTAATCATTCTTTACGTGGGAAAGCAGGTATTTATCATCCTCTCTAGGTTTTTTTCAACCCTTCCATTGATTGGTAGTTGCATGGTAAAATGTGCGCCAGTAGATATGAAGAATGGTTTTTGCGGATTTCAATAGATTTTCATTAAAACCAAGAATTCTGAATGCAAAAGGCAAATGAATTGGTCAACTAGATCCAAAGATTATATACTTTAAACTTTTCGTTTTATGCACTTTCATAAGGCGAAGAGAGTAGGTAACATATATTTCAAAAGCAGATTTAAAATATGAACTGATACCGAATGTATATAAGTTACAAATCTAATAAATTAAAAACCCTCAACACAATAACCTATTCAATGAGCGAAAACACGATATTACTGCAGTACTTTGGTAGAGATGAGTACCTTGCCGATTCCAGGTGACGCTACAGCATTAGGTCAAGGTTACCATATTATTACAATGTCGTTAAAATAATGGGATCTCAAGTTTCGTATCGATTCCATCTATGAAAGTTGTTCATATTCTTTTAACAATTAAAAAAGAGCCGATAGCCTGCAAACAGCTGGTCGGATTTTCTTTATATCATTTATAGCTAAGAACACTTTCAATGAAGTCACCTTTTAAACATAAAAAACTAAATTAAAATCGGTTCATCTGTTTAAAAATTATAATTCTTCAAATTATCGTGTTTGTGAAATCACGTCCATTGTATATTGTGCAATGTACAAGTACTACTCGTTATTCGTGTTGATGACCAAGATGTGAAGTATCTATTTAGTAAATAAAGTATACATATACGCGAACTCGAGTTATACCTACATTTTAGTTAAATCAAGTTCATATCAAAACTTAAGCTAGATTAGCTGTTGTATGTTGTTTAAATGAATGAACATTTTTTAGATTTTATACTTTTGATTTTACACTTTTAGTTTTACTTACCTATAAACCATTTGAAATTTATTCATCTCGTTTTATTTATTTATTCATCTCGTTCAAATTCCCTCTTGAGATTAGTTTGATAAATTATTTGTGAAATTGAAACAAACAGAAGGAAATACTTTCTTATAAATAAGAATATTGAGTAATATTTTTTCATAGAATTTTTGAAATGTTTGAACAATTTGTTCAAACAACCAATACTTGTTATACTTTGCAGTCGAAACTTATTTTCCTCTATTTAAAAAAAAAAAACAAAGTTTTATATACTACATATAATAAAATTCTAAATGAGTCAAATCTGTACATTAAATATTTTTTGGAAAATTTTATTGATTATTATCGATACAGAAGCCGAATCTATAGTTTTTAGTATTTTTGTCTATCTGTCTGTCTGTTACCTGCGGAAAAATCACTGGAGGGATTTTCATGAATTTGGGTATGATGATAGCTGGTTTTCCGAGTCAACATATAGGATACTTTTTATCGCGGAAAAAGATCTCATTTCTGAGAAAAAATACAAAAACTGCATTGTAAGAGTATACTAATATGTATGTAAAACCTAAGAGTTCGGTTTTTGGTCATCTGAACGCGGGCGGAGCCGCGGGCAATGCTAGTAAATATATAAGAATTGCTCGTTTAAACATATTAGATAGATAGATCATTTTATACCAATAAAATTGACATTTAAAAGTCAATGATTCTGTACTAAAAACTCTTTCGGTAATTTATTGGACAAATATGCACTGAGACGACGATGTCTTTCTTCAAATTGCGAGAATCTACGAGTAGGTATGTACTTACTTGAGAAACATTGTCTCAAGTAAGTACATATATACATATCTCGTCAGAAATTGATATTAGTAAAAGTAGGTATAAATATTTTTTATAAGTAGGTATCCACTGTTGACAGGCAAATTTTTTACACCATGGAGTAGCCAATTTTGAGTGGTATGAGAAAGAAATTACATCTATGTAAACCTAAGAACAGCAAAAATGGCCATAGTTTCACATGTATTGTTTAAATACTTATGGAATTTAAGAAAAATGTCAAAAGTACAGCATTATAAAAAGGAATTGGATAATTGTTATGCAATATAAACAAAATACAGCCAATATAAAAATAGCATGACTTGCAAATACCTGAAACTCTAGGATAACCTTAACTGTCAATAGACTAGATTTGAGTAGACGTGGTTGTTCATCAGAATATTATACCATGATTCATGACCTTATTGAAATATCTGTGTACGTGATCTAATTTTGGTAGGTGAAGGTTGTTGAACAAAAGGTTATATCAAACAATGCACCAGGTATGTAATGAGAGAATTAGTTAGAACTACAAATTATAGTGAAGATACAGTATAGTGATTCTAGACTAGTTTTGGCCTAGTTATAGCGCCGTGAGACGTGTGTTATTGCACAAACACCAAAGTTAAATTATTGACTAGATATTATAGAAGTAAAATAAAGCCTCGGTGCTACGTGCGGCTGTGCGGCCGTGCATACCGAATCGTAAGATCAAAGCACGCATAGGTACTTTACTAACTTCGACACCCACACGACTTCACGGGGCACAGATTCAAATGTGTTGGTGTAATAGAACACACAGACGCAACGGTAACACTAATAAAAGTTACCAAGACAGAAGTGCGGCGTACGGTACTATTTGTTTGGAGGGAGGTTGGAGGCACTCATACAAGCGAGGGAGAGGCTGTGTTGGCGCGGCTCGCCAGTTTACCGTTGCAAGGCGCGTAGTGCGGCCGGACGTTCGACCGTCACCCGCGCGCCGCCGGCACTTTGTAGCCCGGCCTCCGCTACCACCACCGCTCATCGCCACCCTCACCACCCTGGACACTAACCAGGACTTTGTCATCTCAAGCATTGTGTACTCCAAGGGGTGTTATGGACTGATCACTACAAATCTTGTTCTCTAACTTATAGACGAAGTGCTACTACTCGTGCTTTTACACTGAAGTGCTAATCCCAATTCTGGTTCTTTATTGGATCGCCTTTGTGTCAACGAAGGTAAGTTATATGTTTAAACAATGATATTATAATATAGATCTCTCTATTAATCTGTTTCTTATTTGTAAATTAATAAAGATAGTCGTGACTAATCTTTATTATATTAATGTAGTTGCATGATAATATGTTAATAAAAACAATAATTGTGAGATTGTATAATATTATCTTTGAGAGCAACTCGTTCAGTGGGTGGTGGTAAATTATATTAAAATGGATAATATAAGCCAAGTTTATAGACGGACAAAATTACAGGTCTTTTTTAAATCGTTTTTTTTTTACTTCGTTAATGCTTAGGTATATCGATACTTTAAACGAATATTATGTACGTATAAATATGCTTATCTTCGTGGTGTATTTACTTTGACATAGAGCTAAATTTCTAAAAATAATTAGGTATTTTTTATTTAAATTCTTTTAACTGTGTAACATATGCATACATAAAGAATATAAATATTATAGTTTTACGTATAGTAAATACAAGTTTTAATTCTTAAGGATAAAATATATAGGTATTAATTAGAACAAAAACTAGTTTTCCTTTATACCATGTGGCTATGTTATCTCTACATATTGGAATTTTATACAGCTATTAAATAAGTTGCAACGCACGTTTGGCAATCGCTCTTTCCGCGTTTTCGGCAATGATTTTGACATTCTAACACATATATTCAATTGTCTATGTAGTTAAACAGTCAAGATATGCAAATTTATTTATCTTTATTTAATTAATGATTTTTTTGATTGATACTATAATATCGCATAATTTGTAAGAACTTACTTACTCATTGAAAACAAAATGCCCACTTCCCTATTAATATTCTACGGTCGAGCATAACCCTTTTATACATGAATTGATTCCAAGTAAAGTCGTTGACTGAATAAAGATCAAATATTTGACAATCTATACATTATATTAGACTGATTATATTATATGGTTAGTTAATTTTGTCTTTTTTATATTTATTAATAAAGCAAGATTATTTTGTGTTTGTAAATTTCTTATTAAAAAAAATAAATGTAAGAAATATTTTATCATAACATACAAGTACCTAGTGTATCAAAACTCAAAAGTAGTTACTTAATTACGACTTTTTCGAAAGAAACAAGACGTTAAGGAAATTATTCATGCCTATTTTAGGCTGCTAATTACTTGATTTGCTTTGCTGGAACTAGGAAATTAACAGTTCGAAGAATTTTTTATAGATGTTCATTATAATACTATTTTCTAATAAAACACAATTACTTTTTGTATAGATAATATAATAATAATAAGATCTGTTAGTACTACTTCGAATAAGCTTTATTTCTAGCGGTAGCAGTGTGTAGACATCAAATAAAATTGATAATAGTTTTTTTGCTTTTCACTGGCAATGGCATAACTTAATAAAATTATAAAAATCTATCTAAAAATAGTTGAATTTTTGATTTAATTCCTGTGGATATTTCAGCTGTAGGCGTAAATGCTTCGATGCCGCGAAGTTAGTTATTATCTAAGTAGGTAACTATTGCATATTTATGCCATTTAATCTATTCTACATTTTCCACGCAAGCATTTTTATTATTATAAATGCAATAATAAACTATATGGAAGTAATAAAGTACTTAATATGTGGGTAATTTATTACTGTACGCTGCGTCATCGCAGTATACGTTCATTGTATGGTGACATTTAAAAACTATATATAAAAGATAAATATATCTCTAAAACAAAAATATGTATCTCTTAACATGATTTAATTTATGAAATCGTGAAATTACAATTTATTTTAAAATAATTGTTCAGTATACATTATCAGAGACAAAGACTTCAACGGGCTCAAAGAGCTCTACGTAGCGTAGCTTGATTATTGGCATGAAACAGTTACTTTGCGTCATTTATATGTAATATTAATATGTTATAGAGCAACTAATAAGTTTTATTTTTTAAGTTACATGTATAATGTTCATTCATCATCATTAACAACATATTCACAGTCAAAAACTTTCACACTTATTAGAACAACATCATCACAAGAATTATTAAGATGTAAATTGAGAGATATTAGCATGATCATAGCACTCATTTTAATTTTGAAATTTCAAATAACAGTGGCATTTCTAGAACGTCTAGCGTACTTTTATGCAAAAATGTGATGCATATGTAATCAATAACATTTAGTTTTTGATCATTACCACACGCTGACTAGATTGAGTTACAAGTATGTCTATTTCTACTATTGGTCCTAAGAAATGGTAAAAGCGCGTATCTAAGTAACAATAAGATTATCTATAATCAATAAACCAAATCAAATATATTATAATGCAATGAAAACACAAATCGAGTCGTGACATATGACTGGTTATCTAACTCTGCGTACAATATTGTAGGTTGCATTTCAGCAATATTACCAAGAATTCGCCTTTAGCGGTAGAGAGATGCCATTAAAGACGGCGGGCGCGGTAGGGGCGTAGCTTGCATTGTTCGAGCGGCGTGCAATAATATCTATTACCCTATGAGCATGAACCGATGCTGTGGAACCATGCTCGTTTTACGTAACACTGCTCCATACAAAGGCTCGTTTGTCTCACGGTCCTCCAGCTCGATCGGTCTCAAAGACATAAAATAGATATTAGATGTCTTTTAATTACATTTAACTTAAGATAAGCGGATGATGGACATAATATATAGCAACTGTAATAGTATTTACTACTTAATATTATAATTTTATTAATACAGTACAGTAGTTATACAAACTGTACAGAACTATTTATAGAAGAGCAATACGAAACCTTTATACCTTTGCTTTCAAAAAATTTTTAAACAATTAAAAAAATCATTTAAACGAATAAATTTTATATCAAGATCTTAGTTTACATAATCTGTCATTTTCTAGATTCTAAAAAATCGGACGGGACTGTGTCGGGGCACGCCGCCGTTGGTTTAACGTAAAAAGTCTATTACAGCGAGTTGCTTTTAGTGTTTTTGTTTTTTTATAAATATTTTTATAAGTATTTTACATATTTGAAAACAAATTAGTAAAAAGAATAATCTTTGAAGATAGCAACGGAAAGAATATTCATATAAACAATTTTTCTGATAATAACAACGGTTACCATGGCAACATATTTCGTTACAGTCCACTTTTCTGACCTGATAACCGCACGTTTCGGTGTGATTTTTAAGACGTTTCACGTCAAAAGGTTAAAATTTATTGAATGAATAATTAGCTAAAAATGTATCATTTTAAATATCTGAATAATACATACTATATCAATATTTTATTAGTTTTAATTTTACTATCTTATATTTTTACCTTTGACGCAATAATATCTTTGAGTTGCAAAGGCGATGAATATAATTTAACATATGATATATATACTAACTGCTAACTGATTGCCCCGTATTTAGATAAACAGATCTTAATTTTGATATCAAAGAAACTATTAGGTCCTTACATATGAAATTGGCGTTTTCTCGAGCTGGCCATGTTGATCTTAAATATCTGGCGCTTGGTTAGGAGTTCCAAATTCAAATTTATTTCAATTTGTGTATTATAATTTGTGTATTTTAGAATTTAGCGACTCATTTGTTTTCGCATAATTTTATTTTTCTTTGACATCGTTCTGTTTACAATGTCGAAAACTTAAAATGTCGCGTTATTTACGAATAGGAACTCCACCAGCGTGGCACCAGCGCTGCAGAAACAGCTCGAAGGATTAAGGATGTACAAAATAGGAAAGCTACTGTTAAAGAAAATACGGTACGTTTTTAGTTCTAACGTTTTTGTTCTGGAAATTTTGACCTACAGAAACAACCTTGGAAAAGTGAAAAATAAGTATCTCATGAATTGAGTGAAGCATACCAACAAAGACGCGTCCAGTGCTGTGTTACATTTCTCAATCGTCATACTAACGAATTTTAAATTGTATCTACTTGTGATGAAAAATGGATTCTGTACGATAATCGGAAACGCTCTTCACAATCGTTGAACATAAAAGAATCGGCCAAATCCTGCCCTAAGCAAAAGTTGACTCAGAAAAGGGTACTAGTAAGTGTCTGGTGGACTAGTGCTGGTATCATCCACTACAGTTTCCTAAGATCAGGGCAGACCATTACGGCAAATCTGTATTGTCAACAAAAACCATGATGAAAAAGCTAGCCGTTAAACAACCGAGACTTGTCAATTGCTCTAGTCCACTGCTGCTTCAGGACATCTCGATCACTGCACAACAGACGGTCGCTAAATTAGAGGAGCTGCGATTGGAATGTATCCGACATCCACCATACTCCCCGGACCTTGTTCCTACAGATTATCACTTTTTTTGGAATTTGGACAATTTCTCGCAAGGAAAAAAATTCAATTCCGATGAGGCAGTCAATACCGCCTCAAAATTCAAAATCCGAGATTTTATTGATTCATGAAGAAATCAATGAACTATCTATAAAATTTCGAAAGTGCATAAATAACAAAAATAAAAAATAAAAAAATTTTGATTGATAAAATGTATAATTTTTTTTTTCGTTTTTGCTTTTTCCATATAAAACGCCAATTTAATATGTAAGAAGGAAGAAGGTTACAACATTAGGACTACTACTAAGTACAAAAAATATACTAAATATAACGCATAAATAAAGGTTCATTAGTTGTACGGATGTATTCGGTTTTAACGTTTAGTATAGATTTCTCAGAAATGAGATATTTTAACGCAGTAAAAAGTATCCTATGTATTAACCCGGGTAACCAAAATTCAACAAAATCTGACTCTGACTGTCTGAAGACAGACAGATAAAAAATCCAAAAAATTATATATTCGGCCTCTGTATCGATAATAATTATGATTATTTCAATAAGATTTTCCAAAAAATGTTTCATGTACAGATTCGACTCAGAAGTTTATTATATGTATAGAAAATAATGAGCTATGT